AAAATATAAGCATCCCTTCTACTTTAAAGTTTTTATTTCCACTTATTCATTTATTAGTTGACAATTAAGTTATACTTTTTTTGTTAAAAAATGTAAGATATTTTTAATCAAATCTCACCCTCAGTAAAGTAGTTATTTGACTTTAAACTAACCATATCTTTTCATATTTATCCCTATTTAATAGGATATTTCATCCTAAAAAAATATAAAGTAATATATTCAATATGGGCACTTTTGAAAAAAGTTAATAATTATATATTAAAAGATTAAAAATGCTTTACATTTTTGAACATCTGACCATTTAAAAAATACCTCGCATTTTTGAACGGAGGGAGTATATCTTAGACCTACCATTCTTGATATATTCTTTTAAATTTTTAAATTTATTGGTTATAGAAACTTGTTTACTAAAAAATTAATACATGAATTTACTAAAATAATATTTCAAATATGTATGGTACAATAAAAAAGCTAAATGAAATAAAATATTGATTAGTCAATGTAATTTATGTTTGTTCAAATTCTCCAATTTTCCTAAAATATTTTTAAATTATTGTCATACTTGATTGTTTAAATTTTTTTGGCCAAAAATTATTTAAAGTTTCTTAAATTAGAAAGCAAGATGATAGACAAATAGATTATAAGAATAAATTAATAAATTTAAAATTTTTCAACATAAATACAAGCAATAAATTATTTATTTTAGAATATTTAAAGAACATTCTTAATTCTTAATAGCTTTAAAAATGAGACTAAAGTGTATGTTATTGAAATAAACAAGATGTCTTTATAATTCTAAATTTCTAAAAACACAAAAGGGAGATCAATATATTTTACTCTATAATTTATTTTAAAATCTAAAGGATATTTTATATTGAAATTTGTTACTCCCTCCATTCAAAAATATAAAATATTTTTAATCAAATTTCACTCCAATAAAGTAGTTACCTACTTTTTAACTAACCCTATCTTTTCATATTTACTCCTATTAAATACAGTATAATAAATATAAGATCACTATTAATAGAGATAACTTTTGAAAAAAGGCAGTGATTACACCTTAAAAGACTAAAAATATCTTACATTTTTTAACATCTAACTCTTCAAAAAATGCCTACATTTTTTAACAGAGGGAGTATGTTAATACATGTTAAAATTAAAATTAATAATTTATTTTATTTTAGAATGTGTTACCCAACCAGTGTAAATAAAAATTTAAGGAATGACTTCTTCTTCTTATTTTGTCTCATAAAGTATTATCATAACTTCTAGTCATAAGACTAAAAATTTAATAGAATAATGCCTATAAATAATAAATTTTATTTTACAATGTGTTGCTCTTGTAAATATATTAAAAAATATCAATATTTTTTAAAATTTACCACCTCCAATGATTTGAAATATAATCTAACTTATTTTTTTTAATTTTTTGTTGCCCTATATATCACCTTGAGAAAAATTAAACATGCATTATAATAAATCATACTATAGTTTATGTCACAAGCGTGTATTTTTTTGTTTGTGTGCTCAAATTTGAAGCGCGTAGTTACATCAATGTTAATTATAAGTTTTCAAAGCATCATTGACAGTTACATATAAGTGATAGAATAATGGATTTTATATCTTATGCACTTGAAGAATATAAAAAAAAATGTTCTATACATTCTCACACATACTATTTGATAATTTGTTACCCTATGTCAATAATAAATATACAATAAATTATTTTTATCTAAGCCATGTTATCCCTATATAAATTTCATTGCATGTCTAACATCTATTATTTTTGGGAGAATAATAGTTAGATATCATACCATTGAATGAATGACAGTTAGATTATTAACAATTTTTTTAAAAAAATAAGTTAAAAATATCGATCCAAATAATTATAAATCTAAAAATTTTACTTATAAATAAGTATTTAAGTGTCAAATGTGACTCTTGAATTGTAAGAGGAATTTCTATTTGACATATTTAAATTAATATTTATAATTTTTTTAAAAAAATTTGTCAGGGACATAATTATTATTAATTCAATTTGTTGGGACCTAATTGTCATTCTCCCATTATTCTTTTTTTGCTAAAAATCTTATATCTACATCTAATTTTTACTATAAATCCCACATAATATTTCAAAATATAAAAAATTTATTATTTTTTATGCCTTGTCTAAAATCTTAGACATTTACAAATGTGAATTTACGTGGCAAAGGTTTTGGATAAATTTTAGGGGCTTTCGTAGATGTAGCTTTTATTGTAGGATCAAACTAAATAAATAGTATAACATTTATTCTCTCTATTAAAAAATATAAGATATTTTTAAGGAGTTAGATATTAAAAAATATAAAGCATTTTTAGTCTTTTAATATGTAATTATTGCCTTTTTTAAAAGTATCTTTATTGATAATGACTTTATATTTATTGTAGAGTATTTAATAAAAGTAAATATAAAAATACATGATTAGTTTGAAAGTAGATAACTACTTTATTGAGGGTGAGATTCAGTTAAACATACCTTATATTTTTGAATGAGGAGAGTATTATATTTTGCATTATGGTTAGTTTATTATATTTGTAAATGATATATTGTTATATATTAATAATAAATGCTTTGTAAATTTTTAAAATTTCAATGATAAATCTCTTTGTATATTATTTAGGGGCCTAAAACACCAAAAAATAAAAATATAAGGATTCAAAATACTAAAAAAAGTGCAAAGATCTATAATAAAATACGAGTAAAGTGTAAGGACCAAAATGTAAGTTTTTTAAAAAAATTATATATTAATTTCTGTAAGATAATAAAATTTAATTTATTTTAAAAAGAGAAAAAGAAAAATAATACATAATTTTTTAACATTAAAGGTATTTTAGAATTTTTAAAATAAATATTTAAATTATTTTTAATCATTTTCTCCCTCCTCTCCCCTCTAAAAAAACCCCAAATTGAAGGGGACGAGAAGGCTAGGAGGAGAGAGGAGTCCCCTCTAATTTTTAAACCAAACAAGGTGCTTCATTCCCCTCCCCTTATTAGGTATTAACTTTCAATCAAATACACCCTTAGGGCTCTTCATTGCTACATTACTTTATAATTTTTAATTTTTTATATTTTAAAATTTATAAATTAAATATTATATATATATATATATATATATTACACACACGTGTATAATACACAATAATCCTCCTAGAGACCTCAACCAGTTGTTGCTTCGAGATATAAAGGGTTAGAATAATCTTTGTTTAGTTTCTTATAATAAATAAGAGATGGGCTTTTGCCCCGTTATCGACAAAAAAAAAATACACAATAATATATGTGTGTGTGTAAAAAGGCTGATGCATGGCTCATAAGCCAAGCTGTGTAAAATTTGGTTAGACATATTTATTTGAACAAGCTTAGTTAACAGTTTGAATTTGGTGTTAAGCAAGTGAGGTTGTAAGCTTTGACTTAATTTCGCTCTAGACAAGCTAAATTTTATTTATAAAAAAATATAAAATTACTCTTCATAACCCTCCCTCCACAAATACAAAAATCAAGATTAAAAACAACATTTTTCTTCTTTAAAAAAAGCAAAAATAAAATTTGAAAATAACAAGCATTTGGAAATTGATTGTTGCTAATTTGCTACATGGTATCCTAAACGACTCGTTTAGTGCGTTGGAATAGGAATTGGACAGGTGGAAGCAAAACTTTGAAATTTTCTTATTTGGGGCGCAGGAACTCAATTATCCATGTAAGCCATTTTTATCAAAAATTATAGAATTCACTTCTATTATACCCTCAAGCCTCATGAGAAGCTAGGGATAAAAATAGATCAAGCCAGACCTTATTTAAATAGGCTTGAGCTAGTATGTATTTTTCTTAAGCTCAAACTTAAGCTTACCATAAGTTTGACCGAATCTAAAACTTTTTTAAAAGTTTATTTATTAAGTAGTCCTTTAAAAAAGGTTCAAGAAATAGGTTTTGATTTCTACTTAAATTGATAAAAAGATTCAATCATTGAACCAAATAAATATAAATTTAAATATAAATTAAATGTATTTAATATAATCAGAAAAAAAGCATTTAATATATATATATATATATATTAAATAAAAGGCATCAATAGGTTTGGCCTATTTAGCCAAACATGCCTTAAAAATATTCTTGTTTAGCCAAGGAGACTCAGCTAAATAGATTAAGTTTCAATTAAGTTCATATGCTTGTCGATAGGGATATGACTTATTCTCACCTCTAATGAAAACTCAATACCATCCTTCTTACTAAATATTTTTTTTACTAAATAAAATTATTATTTTGCTTCCATCATCATATTAGACATTTTTTATCTCATTTTTATTTATGTTTCCACTTTTATTTTCATTTATATCAAAAACTCTTCTCTTATGTTGAATTGGACAATTTAAATTTAATCCCTTGAAAATTATTTGATTTTATTTTTAATCTATTTTTATTTGCTTATAAAATTTTAGAATTTAGAATTTTATTATTTATATTTTTTTATAATTTAATATTTTAATAATAATTTTATAATAGATGAAATCTGCATTGTCTAAATAAATCTTGATCTAATAATCTAATGATTAGGAAAGGTAAAGAGTGAAAAGAGGAGGGTAAGGAAGAGGCCCCAAATTTTCGGTCTGCATTTGGTGCATCAACTGTTCATTAAGGCCAGAACCAATTCTATCCCTTTATTTCAACCCAAATTAATCTTTGCAGTTCATTAAAATTAATTTTTAAATATTTTAAATATTATATTTATTAAAAAAAATAAAAAAATTAATATTAAATTTAGTCTATTTAAAATACATTTAAATAATTAATTTATAAAATTTTTTTATATTAAATTAGACTGGTAGATTAAATTTGTATTAATTAAGTTGGTGATGAATATATTTATAAAAATTTTATATTTTTTATATTAATAAATATAATATTAAAAATGTTTAAAAATTAATTTAAATGAACCGCAGATCAATTTGGATTGAAACGGCTGCAGGCTGCCTCGGTGAGAACCCGCTGAATGCAAACCCCAAGCTTCCCTGGCTTCTGGCTATAAACCCTGGCGCGTCTCTGTGTGGACGGAATTAGGGTTTTAGCACTCAGTGGCCGACTAGCTCAAGAGCCATGGAAGGCATCGAACCGGAAGGACCTTACTTCTCCGTGGACGAAGACAATGGGGATTTCTGCAGTTCCATCCTCTCTCGCTTCGGCAATTCCACCGACGAAAGTCATCAGCATCTCTGTGCTGTTATTGGCGCCATGTCCCAGGAGTTCAAAGAACAAAGTCTTCCTTCCACACATGTTGCCTACTTCGGTGCCGCATGTTCTTCCCTCGACCGCCTATCTTCTGAACCCGATGCCCCTAACCACATCGTGGACGCACTGCTCACAATTCTTTCCATCGTCATTACCCACGTACCCGTTGCAATGTTGAAGAAGAAAACGGATTTTTTGTCGCACCTTCTGGTGCAAGTTCTTCGGTCTCCTTCGATGGCGGAGACTTCTGTTGTTGCCGGATTGAAATGCGTTTCGCATCTGTTGATACACAGGGATAGTATAATGTGGTCTGATGTGTCTCAGCTGTTCAGTGTCTTGTTGGGTTTCGTCATAGATTCGCGACTAAAGGTACTATGAGAAATAAATTCTGTAACTTGTTCATCACCCTTATTCTCTGTAGCAGTGGGAGTGATTTCATAATTAATAGAAGGCAGAAAATTCCTTGCCACGTTACGTTTAAACTGACTTAATGATATGCTAGAAGAAATTCACATTCAGTGTGGTTCAACTCTTCTTAGCGTTCAATCTTCCTTGCCACTTCACGCATAATTTTCACGTTCATTACCGAACACAGTTGATATTTGCTTGGGACTTCAGGCCCTCTTTGATTTGACCCCAAGATGCTAGGTGGTCTCATCCTTTTAACAAAATATATATCTATCAGTGATTGGAAAAACACAACGCATTTCCTTTTTCATATTGCGTGCTAATTGGATCTATCTACAGGTTAGAAGGCAATCACATTCGTGTCTTCGTGATGTGTTACTGAGCTTCCAAAAATCACCATTGCTGGTATCTGCTAGTGAAGGAATTACAAGCATACTTGAGAGGTTTCTTCTGCTTGCTGGCGGAGAAAATGCATGTTCTGGTGAAGGACCTAAGGGAGCTCAGCAGGTTCTATATATTCTTGACTCTTTGAAAGAGTGCCTTCCTCTTATATCACTGAACTGCAAGACTAGCATTCTTAAGTACTTCAAAACTCTCTTGGATCTACATCAACCCCTTGTCACTAGGCGCATAACTGATGGTTTGAGTTTTCTTTGTCTTTACCCAGCATCAGAGGTTTCCCCTGAAGCATTACTTGAATTACTAAATTCATTGGCTCTTTCTATCTCAACGAATGAGATGTCTGGAGATGTAATGACGTTTACATCTCGTTTGCTAGATGTTGGAATGAATAAAGTTTTTACCCTTAATAGACAAATATGTGTTATCAAGCTGCCTATTGTCTTTAATGCTCTCAAAGGTAAGATTCTGGATGCACTTTGAATGGTGGAGTACAGATAATGCTTATACTAGCAGAATTAAATGCTATGAAGTCTTTGTGTGTCTTTGTATGTGCATCTGCTGTCACAAATTAATTATGGAAGTATGCTTCTTCCTTAAAACATGCAGATATTTTGTCATCAGAACATGAAGAGGCCATATGTGCAGCCACTGGTTCAATCAAGAGTCTGATACATTCTTGTATTGATGAAAGTTTGATTAAACAGGGAGTTGATCAGATATCTTTGAATGCACACACTCCATCAAGGAGGTCTGGTCCCACCGTCATTGAAAAAGTTTGTGCAACTATTGAAAGCCTGCTTGATTATCATTTTGATGCTGTCTGGGATAGAGTATTTCAAGTTGTGTCGGCTATGTTTCATAAATTAGGTACTTGGATTGCTATCTAGTCTTTTTCTACTTCACAACATTCATTCACATATATTTTTCTTGCCATTGAACTGCATAGGTAAGACTAGTCCTTTTCTACTTCACAACATTCATTCATATTTATTTTTCTTGTCATTAAACTGCATTGGTAAGAAGATTATTTCTCATAACATGGTGCATAAAAATTTGCTGCTTGCCTGTACTGAGGCGATTAATTATCTAGCTCCCCTTTTGGGATATTTTCATCGTATAGTTTCTGTTTCTTCATAATCTCATCTCTCAAGCTTCAAATTATTGTTGCTGATTTTCTTTGTGACTAATGTTGTTAATACAGGAAATCATTCCGCATGTTTTATGAGAGGAGTAGTTAAAAACTTAGCAGATTTTCAGAAGCTATCTGATGAAGATTTCCCTTTTAGGAAACAGGTCTTTCCGTCTTTATAATGGCACATTTTATTTTGATTCCATAATACTGATGCAGAGTTGAAAATTTGATACGACAAATTTGCTTTTTTTTTTTTGGGCTTTTCTAGCATGTTTGGTTTAACTCAGAGATCATACAATATGTATCATTCATTGCATCTTGTCTGCAGAAGACTTGGTCTTTTTGTCATCACATTCACTACATGCTAACTATTCTCAAGGATTTTATTTTTCACTCTTTGGTTTATCCTGCATGTTTTACTAGGGGATCCTTATTGGAAACATCACTTATCTATTTTAACTCTTGTATTCTGATATAGAATAAAGGTAAGAAAGAGAGGAAAGGGGAGAGAGAATGGAAGAGAATTGGAAAGAGAATGTGAAAGAAAGAGAAAGAGCAGAGAGAGACTAGAGAAAGGAAAACTAAATCCACACCATGCCGATTACAATGACCCTTACACCTTATATAGCTGTTGGCTTACTAACATTCCTCAGTGCCTTTTAACGCCTTTATTGACTACCCCAACTAACTTCATCTTATTGCATTTATATAACACATTCTCGATAGTTAGGTATTTTATGCTGAGATCCAAAATGCATGTTGTATTGTCTATTTATCAAATGTAGACCAACTATCCCAATTTTGAGCAGTTAAAAAGGTTGAACATTGTTTTAAATTGCACCTTAATCTTGAAGTTCGGAAGAAAGTGACCTGTCTTGATAATTTTGAGGGCTCCTTATGAGGTGGCAGATCTAGTTTTTAGCATGTGCTATTTGGATTGATATTGAGTGCTATTGTTAGATTTGATGTGTTCTAAAATTTAGCCAATGAAAAAATATAGTTTCAGCTTTGCTGTTCTAAGTCAACCCCACTTAGTAAAATAAGACTCGTTGTAGTGCACTGTTGTTCCAAGTTTGTTATGCTCTATAAAATCTGGTTATTGAAGGTATTGATAGCACTTTTATTTTGTTACATTTCTGATTATATTAGATTCCATTTATAGTTTGATTGGTAGTGTAGGATTGGGTTAAAAGCTCGATCATTATTATAATTTTTATTTGTTAAAGTATTGCAGCTGACTGATCTTCAATATTCTTAAACGTGCAGCTGCATGAGTGCCTTGGTTCTGCTCTTGTTGCAATGGGACCAGAAACTTTTCTCTCTCTTCTACCTCTGAATTTGGAAGCAGATGACTTATCCAATGCAAATATTTGGCTCTTTCCAATTCTAAAACATTATACTGTTGGTGCACGTCTAAGCTTTTTTACAAAGGAAATTTTGAGTGTGATTGGTCATTTAAGGCAGAGGTCTCAACAGGTATGAAATATTATTGATGAGTTGCTTTATCATTATTCAGAACAAGTTGTTTCTTACCTTGTATGTTTTGCAGTTTCAGCTACAAGGGCTGATAATGTCATCAAGGAATGCAGATGCTCTTGCATACTCTTTGTGGTCTTTGTTGCCTTCATTTTGCAACTATCCTTTGGACACTACTGAAAGTTTCATGGATCTGAAAAGAACTTTATGTATCACACTTCAAAAAGAACCTGACATTCAAGGAATAATATGCTCAAGTTTGCAGTTTCTTATTCAGCAAAACAAGAAAATTATCGATGAAAAAGATGATAAGCAGTATGTGGGTGGAGATTTGGCTAGTGAGCTTGGTTCGGTCCATTATACAAAACAGGTTGCAACAAGCAATTTGAATGTGCTGAAGTCTTCTGCTCAGGAACTTTTAACCGTTCTATCACAGGTTTTTTTGAAGTCCACAAAAGATGATGGAGGTTGTCTGCAGGTACTTAAGTTAAATCAATTGGAAATAGTTCTTGTAATGCTTTACTACTGAACAGACCTTTTGGTTGCCCTGATTTGAGAATATTTTAAGATTTTAAGATTTATGAGATTAATGTGGGATTTTATTATCATACGTCTTTGCCTTGTAATAGTTATATGCATGTGTTACCCACCTCTGTGGCATTCATATTGTTATTACTCTATTTGGCATATGTTACACATTTTGTTCTAGTTCTAGGACTGAATTCTGATACAGATTTTGCTGACCACTGCCCAAAAAGTGCATATTGTCTTTAAACTGCTTGTGGCACTTGATTCCTAGTGCCTATTGCAACAGTGGAAGTAACACTGATAGGTGCATCACTGCAGGTAGATGATGAAGCTATGGTTGTCATGTCATTTGATGCTTGCAAGATTTTATATTTACATCATTGTCTAAGCTTCCATGTGCCTAGGTGATCAATTAAGGCTTGCAGTGAGTTGATCAATGTGAATCTGTAGGCGTAGTTTGCTTGAATAGCTTCTTCTTCTTGTATTGGCTTTTAGTTTTCCATGACAAGGTAACTACTCTACAATCAGTACTAAACTCTAAATCACCGCATTATGACCATAATGTTGGAACTGAGATCATTACTATTATAGACAAGTCCAAATACTTAGGATATCTTCAGCTCACACATATCACCTCTGCCTTTTCCAAGTTTAGGCCTTTCAAATTGTAAGTTTATACTGAATTATAATATAATATATGGGCTTTTACTGCTGACACATTGTGTGGGGATTTTTCTTTCTCAAGTTGGTTTATTCAAAATCAGAATGTTGTCATATAGATGCAATTCTTGGACATTTCTTATAGTTCACAATGTTCAAAAGCAAACTAGATTCTCTTATTTGTTTTTAAGTTTTCCCCCCTCTTTCATTAGATTTGAATGTGTACCTGGTTGTCTTTAGTTACTGTAAGAAGTTCCTAAAATTGATTTTGTGTTGTTTACAGCACACAATTGGTGAGATTGCTTCCATATCAGATCGAGCGGTGACATCCAAGCTCTTCAAAAGCACAATGCTTGAGCTTTTAAAAGTCACGCAAAAGGCCGGCAAAGCAGACAATGCCAATTCAGTACAGGTTGATGGGTCATCAAATAATGTGTCACCCTCAGTTGTCAGGTGTTCATTGACATCTCTCCTTTTTTTTTTCCTGGCCCCCAAACTTGTGATTAGATTGTTGTGTCATGAATTTTACTAAGGTGTCTTATGGTCATGGTGGGTGTCTGCATATAGTTGACAGTAATCATTTCCTTTTTCTACTTTTTTAATCCCAGGGCACAGCTTCTTGACTTGGCAGTTTCCCTGTTGCCTGGTTTAAACACTAAAGAGATTGATCTGCTGTATGTTGCAATAAAGCCAGCATTACAGGTTTGAAGGAGATATATATAATCCTTTGTTCTTTGCATAAATCCCCTAAACTTCCTTTTCGTGATTAAAAGTTATGCTGATTATGAGGAATCATTATTTCTAGGATTTTGATGGTGTTATACAGAAGAAGGGATACAGAGTTCTTTCAGTCATTCTCAGGGTATTTTCTTTTTGTGCTTTTAGTTGTTTATCTGGTTCATATGATAGTTTAAAATGTTTACTATCATGTAGTCATTACTCATTCATCTTGACTAGTGTTCACCTGGCAACTTCCCTGCCTCAATCATTTAATGGATGCAGATTGTTTAATTACTAGTTTACTGGTCTGAACTTGGTTGTCGCAGTACAATAAAAAATGTCATTCTATTAGTGTACATTATGTTTCCTGGAGAACCAAAATGTCATATTAATATTTGGTGTTTTTGCTGCTTAGTAGTGTCAAGCTAGTAACTTGTTTGTTTATGGATTTTCTCAATAGGATTCAAGTGAGTTTGTTCCATCAAAGTTGGAGGAGCTGCTTGCGCTTATGGTTGAAGTTCTGCCTTTATGTCATATTTCCTCCAAACACCATAGACTAAATTGCCTGTACTTCCTAATAGTCCATGTCTCCAAGGTACTTAAGGTTGTTTTTCTTGCTTCTACGTTCTAAACAACCTTGTTGTCGTCATGATGCATCTGATGTGTAGAATATTGCTATATTTATATTGCAAGTGTAATGCATTTGAGATTATGCAATGCAACAGGATAGTTTGGAGCAAAGGTGGCGTGAAATTATTTCTTCTTTCCTTACAGAAATTGTACTTGCTCTTAAGGAGGTAATTTGGTTTATTTGTGGAAAAACTCTTTCTTCTGGTACTTTCATTTATTGCCCTTCTCAATTTGACAACTGTAAAAACAATATGAAAGCATCTACGTTTTCTTTCTTTTTTTGTTTGTTTTCCTCTTTTGCGTTAGGGGGCTTACTGGTTCAGTATGCAGTGCCTTTTGTAACCTTAGCAATGGATATTTACTGGCGCAGGCACATGTCTAGCAAGTGCATTCTGTCTGTTTTTTGCTTCGCTTTTGTTTTTCTTGGGAGTTGGGGTTAGGTGTTTTCTCGTGGTTATCCAAATCAAAGTATTTTTCTGAGTATTATGTATGTACAAGGCCCATCAGTGTCTGAGGCACAATCCATTAGTTATAGCCTGATTTATCCATGGTTATGAGCCACTGTATGGTGAGTGGTAAGCCTTTGATGTATGAAATCTCTTGAGAAGGAATTCAAACAAACTATTGCCCCTTGTTTTCTATTTTTTTCAGTCATGGTAATGATGGTATTAGGGATTATCTCTAGTGAGAAATCTTGCTCCTTTAATTTAAGAGAATCCAAATGGAATCCAGATAAATCTATTGTGGAAATCTGTTTATGGCGCAAATGGAATTTAAATGGATCTATTGCCAAAGAAAGTGTGAATGACGCACAAATACACTTCAAATTGAGATGCTTGAGACTTGATTGGAAGAGGAGGATGGTGGAGCTCACATGAAGATATTCATGTTACTTTAGTCTTTTGATATCCTCTCTTTTCTCTGGAAAAGAAAGTGGTGAAAGATCTAAGATCTCAGAGAGGTGAATTTGAAAAGGAAGTGCTAGAGTATTACATCTGTTCAAGGCCTATCACCATGTGAGGCCCAGGTCATTGGTTATTTCTGATTTGATCCTTGGTTATGAGCTGCGACATAGTTAACCTCTGATCTGTGAAATCTCTTGAGAAGGAATTCAGGCGAACTTTCTCCCTTTGTATTCTAATTCCCCATTACTCTGCCCTTTTTGTCCTTTTTGTTGAGTCTGTGCTGGCCTCCTTCCTGAAATATCATGTGATTCTTTTTTCATTGCTTATATTGCTCTCAAAACTTCCCTGGGTTAGAGTCATATATGTATTTGTTTTGTAAGGCATTTTAATATATTTTCTGGAGCATAAAAAACATTGCTTTGTACTGGTTTTTTTATCTCCCCCTTCATTATTTTATTCTCTTGTTTCTGCAATGACATTTATACTGCAGTTGGTCATTCTTATTGTATATGATATTAAATATGTTGTGTGATACCTGTATCTTGGTCAGCTATCACACAGATATCACTTCTGTTGATATGTTTGAAATTGACTTCATAAGGTTGCTGAGGTGATAAGTTTGGAAAATTTATATTTTTTGCAGGCTAATAAAAAAACTAGGAATCGGGCTTATGACATTCTTGTTGAAATTGGCCATGCACTTGGAGATGAAGAGAGAGGCGGCAATAGAGAAAATTTATGTCAAATTTTCAATATGGTAAATATAGATTTTGAATTCTTCACCAAATTATTGATAAATAATGTGTTATCAGTCTCTTCCTTGATTGGATGTGATTTAATGTAATCTAATTCTGAACTCATTGTACATGAGCTGGGTATTTTTTAGGTAGACCATACACCATATTTGATTCTGTTCTTTTTTCTGGGGCTCAGATTGCTAGAGGCCTGGTTAGTGAAACTCCGCATATGATTAGCGCAGCAGCCAAAGGTTTAGCTCGTTTGGCCTATGAGTTTTCTGACCTTATTTCAACTGCTTTCAATTTGCTTCCGTCTACTTTCCTCCTACTTCAAAGACAAAACAGAGAGATTATAAAGGTTTGATTCCTTTTCTTCTGTTTTATGGTTACATGCTTTGCTGAATGAAGCAATGTAATTGATTTATGCTCTAAAATCAAGTAAACCAGTGTTGAGTCTTCCTGCAGGCCAATTTAGGTTTGTTAAAGGTGTTAGTGGCTAAATCACAAACAGAATGGTTGCAATTGCACCTTAAGAGCATGGTGGAAGGTTTGATGAAGTGGCAAGATAACACCAAGAATCATTTTAAAGCGAAGGTTGGTGTTTGGCTATCCAGTGGTATTATCATATTTAATGCTGTTTCATTTACCTGTTGCTGGTGGCTGCCGTTTTTCTGTTTCTTGTGCTTGTTCATATTGCATTGTCGTGATGAGAATCATTTCCTTCCAGGTTAAGCATCTTTTGGAAATGCTTGTTAGAAAGTGTGGACTGGTGGCAGTTAAAGCTGTCATGCCTGAAGACCATATGAGACTCCTTACCAACATACGCAAGGTCTCTTGAACAGCATCATATGATAAATTTTCTCATCAACACTCTATCAGATGTGTAATCCTGTTTTAAATGCAGATCAAAGAGCGGAAGGACAGGAAACGAGGTGCTAAAACTGAGGAAACTAGAACTTGTCTTTCAAAAGCACCTACATCCAGGTTTATATTGTGATTATTTTACATTTATATTTAGTTTAATTGGCAAGGACACTTATTTCAAAACTTTAACCATCAGTCTTATTACCTTCCCACTCAAATATGTTGATATTTAGTTCTCTTAAATTCATGCAACTTGACATGAAATTAATTTTATCTTGAGTGATAAATAAAAATGGCCCAAGGACGTGATACCTAATGTGATTAGCTAGGAGGCTTCTTGATGAATGGGTAAATTTTATTGGTAGCGAAGTATTGCAGCTTTGTGATTGGTTTCATGATTTTCAACATCAGACCACCTTTGAGACGCCCATCATGTTTGTGTTTGTTGTCATGTTGCAAACTAAAATAATTAACATGTCTTATTCAGCATCTGATCAATGTAATTCTCTATTCTTGTTGATGATGATCATGATCAATCTCTCTCTTAGCTTCAGGCAAAGTATGTGGAACCATACAAATTTTTTTTCTGATTTTGATGATGAAGAGAGTGGAGGAACTGATGCAGAATACTTGGCGAAGACCATCTCCAGAGGGGGCAAGTCTTACTCACACAGTAAATCAGCAGGATCTTCATATAGGTGAGCTGTAGTACTAAATCTATCCAGTCTTCTATTGATTGCCTTGTGGGTAAATTTTGTGATGATAAACATTTTGAAACATTTAACCTGACTACACACGAGTAATATAAAACTTGACTTGGCAAAATGAGATTGTTCTTGTGCCTATCTTGATTGGTTCACTATCAAAATGGATTTTAACAGTTATTGCATATTCTACCTAGGTTGAAGATCAGACACGAGAAGAATTTGCTTGAGCACTTGTCTGACCAATCGGATGATGAGCCGCTTGATTTGCTTGATAGGCAGAAAACAATTTCAGCTCTTAAATCATCTGAGCATCTCAAAAGGAAGTCAAGGTTAGATGATGAGGTTGAAGTAGATTCCGAAGGACGCCTGATTATATGCGAGGAAGGGGATTGGACGAAGGGAAAACCTGAAGAGGCTGATTTTGATACTACGAGTGAAGCTGATAGTCACTTGTCTGGGAAGTCTGGAACTCAGGTGAAGAAGCGCAGAAAAAAATTGGAGTCTGGGTGGGCGTACACAGGGAGAGAATATGTCAGCAAGAAAGCAAGTGGGGATGTGAAGAGGAAGGACAAGCTTGAGCCTTATGCATATTGGCCACTTGATCGGAAGATGATGAGCCGTAGGCCACAGCACCGAGCTGCTGCAAGGAAAGGCATGGCAAGTGTCGTAAAGATGACAAAAAAGTTTGAAGGCAAGAGCGCATCTAGTGTACTGTCCCAGAGTATCATGAAACTGAGAAGGACCAAGAAGAAGGACGGCAAGAAATAGAAAATGCAAGGGCTGCTGGTTAGCATGTCAATTTGTTGGCAGCAAGATAAGATCATTATTTTGTGCTTACATTATATGAGTTTTGGATTTAGGAGCTCCGGTTGTAAGGCAACTTAAATTATAAGCCATTGTTTTTTTGTTAGTTTTGAAAGAAAAAAATTAATGATAAAGCAGGACTTGGAGCAGCAGTTTTTTCGACAAGCTGCTCGTTGTCGTTGTTGATGTGGCCAAGCGTGTCTTGGTACTTGTACATTAGCAAATAATTGGAAATTGAAAACTGAAGTAGCTCTTCTTTATATATATATATATATGTATGTATGTATGTATGGCTTTCAACGCCTGTGTCATCTGTCGTGACAATCACACTCCAAATGCATGAATGTCCCGTACCACAGTAGAAGTGGATTTTTTTACTATTCACTTTATTTTTTCTATCAACGGAAATAGGTGAAATGTTGGCTATTCAAATTTAGTATTTTGAAAATTTATTATTAAAATATTTAATTATAAAACAGATAATATTAAGCTTGTGAAATTTCATGTGAACAGCTGAGCAATATAGAAGGAAAGAAAAGAAAACATTTTGCTAAAAATGATCCTTGAATTGTCAGAATTTCATTTGACGATAATATGGTTAAAAAAAAATTGATTATGAAGAGGGAATTTTATTTTTGTTTTTTAATGAAAGTGTGAGTAAACACAAAGAAGAATCCGTGTACGAAAAGAAAGATAGAGCTACGCAAACTGCAAAGTTTTAACGCAAACGTTATAGTGATATTTTCAGGAAACTAGAGTTTTCTGGCAAACACTGGAGATAACTATAAGGTCCGAATTCCCATTAGTATGTTTCAAGGATTTTTTTTCTTTAGTAAATGAGAATAGGAAAATATATATAAGTAAAGTTTTACAGAATTCTTTGGCATGCATCCAATAAAAATTAAATTAAAAATAAAATATTATAATGTTTTTTGATAATCAATTATAAATTTTGATTGTTATGATTTTTTTAAATAGAAAGGGCCAAATATACTGATTAATAAAATAATTTTATAAAATTTCATCCAAGAAATATTTAAAACAAAAAAAATTCCACTCCAAGGAAAAATCGTTGGAAGGAGACAAATTTACAAAAAAAAAAAAAAAACCTTGTCTAGGTACTACACTTTTAAAAATATTTCTCTAGGTATTATAAATTAAATTGAGTTCCAATTTTTTTTTTTAATATTGAAGTACAGAACTCGATCACTGCTAAACTGAATTCTGTACTTATATTTAAAAAAAAAATTAAAATCCTGACAAGCTACTTGTCATGCTATCCCAAGTAATTCCCGTCCTCTTCCGGCACCCACTTCCTCTCTCTCTCTACCCTTTCCAGTTTCTAGTCCCCGTTACGTGCGTGAGTGAAATATATATACATATATAAGACTAGAGGGCAAAAATATTCCAAAAATTTTCTCAAAAGATCAACTAGTATACTTACTTTTTAGTTAGAATAATTTTTCCTTGAAACTTTAAAATAGACAGCAATTTTGTCCCACTGTTAAAGTTCCCAACTTTGACCATTAAAATCAAAGTTTGACAAAATCAAATAAAGGTGGCTCATTGGAATTAGCTGATTTGTTTGAGTAGGAGTTAACAGTGGCAATAATCTTCTTCCTTCTCTTTCTGCATCCAATGTCGTGTGTTCCACAAACAACCAAACGTTGAATACAGAAAAGGCAGTGGCCTTCATAGCAGAATCGAAAAGAAGAAAAATAGAAGAAGGAAAAAAAAAAAATCAAAGCTGATTTTTCCATATAAATGAGAAGGAAGAAGATGATGCAATTACGTAGAGAGGGGTGCTGATTTTTATTTTTATTTTTGGCTGTTGTTGATGTGGATTCAACTATCATTTTTGCAATCTCTGAGACAAGCATAGAGAGCAAGCCAAAGACACCTCACGCCAAAAACCATCTTGTTCCAAATATCCAGACAATTCTTCGCTGTCTTCTTCTTCCTCAACGAAAGCTATCAAAAGCACCACAACCTATGGCATCGAGTAGGAAATTCGATTGCAGAAAAGAGAGGCGAAGAGAATAGGGATTATGCATAAACACAAATCATTAAACCAGAAATATCAATCAACATTGCAATAATATAACACAAACTCAACTCAATAAACGAAAATAGTCCCAAGAATTTAATGTGGATCAACAAGAAACAATTCAGAAATGATTGAGACAGAGGATCGGCGTCAACAACGATGGGATTACCTAAACCACTAGATGGGTTGAGGACTCTTCTAGAGCTTTAGGATACCAAGTTCTCTCTCTCTTTTTTTTTCATGAGTAAATTGCAAAGAAGGTGATGAATTTAAGTTGGAACGAAGCCGGAAACCAAAAAAAGACAGATTCCCATTGAAGGCTAATCTTCTATTTACATTGTAGCATTCGACAGTGAGGGCAAGAATGAAGCTTTCGAGAACACTCACACGATCACAGCCAGCATCTTCCAACTGTTATCTCTACCTTTGTTTAGCTTCACCAACAAGCCGATTAAAGTGACTTGACTCGGTGCTGCCCCTATGTCTCCATTGGTCAAAGATTGATAATCGATCTCCAAGGTTGAGATTTGAGAACTTAACGACGCTACCCCTACCTCTATCGATCGAAGATTGATGATCTCCAGGGTTGGGGTTTGAGAACTTGACAGTGAATCCATGGTTGAGTGAGAGGGAGATGAAGGGGCCTTGCTTAGTTGCAAATGAGAGAAGGCAATGAGAGACGGCAGACAATGGCCCATTTAGTGGTTGGCATCCTAAAGCTCTAGATGAGTAAATTGCAAAGAAGATGATGGCAATCATATCTTTCATATTTATTTTTATTTAATAGAGTAAATTGTCAATGGGGCGGCTGAGGTGTTCTAAGCTACTCCACGTGGAGTCCACTTAATGCAAAAGGCTTGCCACTTGCATATATATTAGTCAGACATTGGTCAAAGATTAAAGATCGCTTTACTTTTGATGCTTTTAGGAAAACATTGCTGCTCTTAAAAAGACAAGGATACTAAAAAGATAAAGATATCGGGTGTTCTTTTAAAAAAAATTTCAAAGCATTTTTATCTCTAATCCCCTGTGTGTGTGTATATATATATATATTACTTTTTTTATTTAAAAATATAAAATAATTTTTAAAAAATTAATTATTAAAAATATATAAGATATTTTTTATTTTTTGAGATGTAATTATTATCTATTTTTTAAAAGTATACTTATTGATATTATATTTATCTTTATTATGGAGTATTTAAAAATAATAAATTAAAAAGATAGAGTTAATTTAAAAGTAAATAATTATTTTATTAAAAATAAAATTTAATTAAAAATATTTTATATTTTTTAATATAAAGAATATATGTTATCCTAGACATTGTTGCCTCTTTTCTTCTTCCAGCGCGTACACACACACATATTTGCCCAGGAGATACCAACATATAATTGGGTAGCTATATATAATCTAAATAATGTATTATGTATAAAAATTATATATTATTTTATTAATTATCATTATAATAATTATATGATTTAAAAAATTATACAAATTATAAAATAATTATATACTCCCTAAATAAAAAATGTAAGGTATTTTTTAAAAGGTTGGATGTTTAAAAATTTAAGGTATTTTAATTTTTTAAAGTGTATATCATTATTTTTTTTTCAAAAAATACTCCTATTAAACAAATCACTTTATATTTATTTTAAGGTAAAATACTCTATTAAATAAAAATAAACATGAAAGATATGATTAGTTTAAAAATAAATAACTACTTTATTGGAGGTGAATTTCGATTAAAGATATCTTACATTTTTTAATGAAGGGAGTAATTAATAACAACATAAAATTACATAAATTTAAATCATAATATATAATTTTAGGGTTAAAAAGTTAGAGAACATTTCTTCCTCTGAATGTTTTGTTGGGCACCCTAGACGATGGGACAATATCATTCCTAAACAATTATTTTTAAGTGCAAAATTATTATTTTTTTTCAAAACTATGTCACCTTTTTTACTATCTACTAACGTAAAAAATGAAATAGTTGTTACTGTGTGTGGCTCTCACAATTATTCCATATTAGCATATAATAGAGAAGATAACAGATCTCTAATTAATGTTAATTTTGACCATTAAAAAAATATTTTGACTAAAAATATATTCACAAATAGCTTCATCTACTGTATCAGATTATTTTCATGAGCTCAAAGTATTTTCTTAAAATAATTAGATTTTCTTTTTCATGATTATTTTTAAAAATTGAAATAAACATAATAAAAACTCAAAAAATAGATTTTTCCTCCAAAAAATAAATGATTCTTTCATTTAAGAAAAAAAAAGCTAAAACAACCGGGCCAATAAAAAAGTAAAAGGAGGGAAGCCAACTCAGTCTATAGACATAATACTTCATCAGTTTTTAATTATAAAATTTTTCTATCTAACTTACACTTGCTAAGAAAGCAGTTAAAATTAACTAACATACAAAATTAATTAGTGTGTAAATATTGATAATTTAAATAATACAAAAATAGTAAATATAAATTCATATTCATTTACAACTGATAAAATTATAGATTATGATATAAAATAATTTTATTTTATTTTTTTACTTATTTTATAGTATAAAATAATTAATTTATACATCTTACTCACGCTTTTTTACCCAACTGATTATACTTATGTTATTTTATAATTATAAACCCATGGATATATAACGAGCGGGGAAGGAGGGCTGGGGAAGGATGGGGGGGCAGATGGAAAGTGGGTACGAGAATTTCTTGGAATAAGAGGCTAATGATAGGTACAACTTGTCAAGCTATATTTAAAATTTTAATTTTTTTATATATAAGTACAGAATTCAATTTGACGGAAGTTGTTTGGCTTAAATATAAAATTTTATTTGTCAAAGCATTTTAAGTAGGTCATAATATAAATTAAGTAATTGAAAAGTCAAATCTAATTAACAATCTAAATAAAAAGGTCAATCTTGAACTTAATAAAAAGCCACGATTAGATAAACATATTGAAATCCCGCTAATTGTAAATTCACTCTATGGATCATTGGTACATACAGATACAATTTCAAATTATCCCGAGTCTCGCGAGAACAGTATCATCATGCCCAAGTATCTTAATGAAATGGGTTGGTTATTAAAAACAAAAAACAGTGATTAAAGACTATGCCATGAGTTTTGTAACATCCCTGATTATTTGTAGGAGAGCATTTTGAATTTTAAAGAAAAAGTTATCATCACTATGTCACTATAAATGGAGCACCAAATCGCAAAAGAGAGAGATAGACAACACTCAGACGAATCACATTTTTACACCCATAGTCTTAAGTTTATCAATTATTTTTATCTTCAATTTAGACTTGAAACCGTTTACGTTTCGTAACATCTTAATAATAATTGAAATACTTGTTTTACCAAGTCTTATGTATCTTTTATATTCGGGTGAACTATAATAAAAGAGCCCAGAGACTTTTTGTTATCAACTGAGACTTAATGTTTCTGAAGTCTGGTAATTTGTTGTTCTTGACGAGCAAAAGTCAAGTTATATACTCAAATATTTAAATAAAAAAAGTTGGAGCTCACTTTGATATAAATTGAGCTGTAAATTTATAGCATATGGACAAATATTTTTAAGAGTGTAATATTTAGATAAATGAATGTTTTTTTGGGTAGCATTGGAGTCAATCTGTTTAGGGAGGGGGACGCTAGCGGACTGCCATTCTGTCACAAATGAGGAAGTTTTGTCCGTCAGGCACGCAAGCCATTCTGCCATTAGCACCTCCAATGCTGTTGCCTCCTCCGTTCAAAACATGGTGAAATTGAAATTTTAATGCCTGATGAAATCGTAATGCCTACAGCCTCATCGCAAATGTGATGAGCTCTAATCATTGCAACTGATGCCCTTGAATGTGTATTGCCGAAATTTTACACAAAGCTGCATCCTAATTCGGCTCACCAGTCAGCGCACCAATTTCATTGCTCAAGATCTTGAGATTTACTGGTAACAGCATCCTTCATCGCTAATGCCAGTTAATTCCTGCAAGCGAATATACCTGAGGTTTACGAAATTTTGTCTGCCAATTGGTGTGTGCATGATAAAGATACTATTGATATTATGACCCTTGGGTTACTTCTCCCTACAAATCTTGTGGCGGAAGGTTTTTGGGCTTGGAAGAGTAGAATTAGAGATATTTTAGTCTTTTAATTTATTAAAACTTTTATTCTACTATTATATTATTAACATTCACAAAAAGCATGCAAGATTCCGTCATCTGTCTCTAACTATATACCTTTATTGTACTTCAATTTTATTTTATAGATAATTTTGTTCAAGGCAGTTTTTATCTTTATTTTCTATTTCATTTTTGTGCTCCTCCATTTTTTTTTTATAATGCTGTTAGCCAACCAAGGAGGCCTTATGCAGCCAGACCCAACAGTCTGGTACTCCGAGTACTGCAGCCCATGAACAGGTCCATCCATTGATCATCCGCAGTGGGACCCAGAATTTTAAAAATGTCCGTTTATAGTTTCCAGGTGCGCGCACTGAACGGAAAGAGCGTCTTCAGTAACCGTTACACCCTCTCTTTAACCGAGCAGTGAGTGCGTCTTCAGTCCATGTCATTTCTCAGTTCTCCCTGCTAACATATATGCACTTCAGAGCATTTCCCATTCTTGGAAATCTTGAAACAGCGAGCAGTTTCCAGACTTTGTCCTGATCCTCCGCTTCATTCTAGAGGAATTCAATCTTCCGTTTTAAGTGGTTAGTTCGTTCTTTTCGGTGAAATTTTTTGTTCTATAAATAAGGTAGATCAACAAATGTCTTTCAAACCTTATCTATTTCTGGAGAACAGTGACTATAATTGATGCAGTTGAACATGCTTTTCTGGATGATCTTCCTGCGTTCAGTCGAATGAAGCAGTGAAATAGGAAGCTAGGGCTTCTCACTTTGAAATCGGAACCTCATCGTTATTTTTAAAACTACGTCAGGCTTTCTTTCCAGTGCTAGTTTCACAATTTTAGCTGTGAAATGCAACAAAAATAAAAACTCACCCTGTTTTTGTTCTTTTATGTTTTTGAGTTGTCCTCTTAAAACCAGTCGACAAGGCTACAACACCGATAATAGTTTATACCAATCTCACTATAACGGTAATTAAGATACTGATATCTGAGTATGCATCTTTTATAACTTTCTAATCTGCAGACAACTGCAGCTTAGACCAAAGACAGAACACAATGGTTGGAACACCAGCAACCCCATTGTCTAAGATACAACAGAATTTCTCATCTACTCCTGGTGGTCCCAAAGTTCGGGAGGAGAAAATACTGGTGACCGTTCGGATGAGGCCATTGAACCGGAAGGAACAAGCCATGTATGAACTAATTGCTTGGGATTGCTTGGACGAGCAAACCATTGTTTTCAAGAATCCAAATCAAGAGAGGCCTGGGACAGCATACACATTCGGTATGTCTTTCATGAAAATATTGTGTTTTTTAAACCTGTTCTCCCCACCTTTCTGGTTGTTAAGGGGAAAGGATGTTTAACTTTTATATATGCAATTTTAAAAACCAGGTTTTTTAATTAAAAAAAATTGAGCGAGAATTTTAAAAACCTGGTTGACAACTGTAAGTTATTATAGATTGTTATAGAATTTTCTCCCCATTTTCGGTTGAAAATATATTTAAATAAGTTTCTTTTTACTTTTTTTAGATAAAGTTTTTGCTCCTGCAAGTTCAACTCAAAAGGTTTATGAACATGGAGCGCGGGACGTTGCATTATCAGTAGTTTCGGGAATTAATGGTGACTTCTTCGAAAGTCGAAATTATTACATTTAATTATTTTTGGAGCATATTAAAGGTTCCTTTTGATCCTTCTTAATCGCTCTACATTTACTGGACTTTGCAGCGACAATTTTTGCATATGGACAGACTAGCAGTGGCAAGACATACACGATGAGAGGCATAATTGAAAATGTTATTCAAGACATTTACAAGTTTTTTGAGAAAGTAAGTTACAATTGATACCCAAGTTTTATATAACATTCTAGTTGGATAAGAGGTGAGCAAGGATGGAGCTGTTCTAAAATAAATCTTATGAACAAAATCCAATTGCTTTGTTTTACAGCCAAAAAAAAAAAAGATTTAAGACTGTTCTCTTTTTATATCAACCTCACAGACGCCGGCGAGGGATTTTATTTTGAGAGCCTCCGCAATGGAAATTTATAATGAGATGGTCATTGACCTATTGAATCGTGAATCCGGCCCTCTCCGGCTCTTGGATGATCCTGAGGTATAGTTAACAGGAATATTTCTATGAGATTTACAAGTAAATTGTTTACATATCCTTTACGACGGTTTTTTTTTCCTTTCCTTTCCTTTCCTTTTTCTTTTTTGTTTTCGGGATACAGAAAGGGACTGTTGTGGAAAAACTAACTGAAGAAGTAGCCAGGGATGGTCAACATCTAAGGCACTTGATCGGCATCTGTGAAGGTAACGTAGATTGTCTAACGAGAATCAAAGGCTTCCTGGTTCTCTCAAGCAGTGGTTTGCCATCACACCATGCAAATAAAATTTATATCTTTGACTCCTGCGATGTTTGAAGTCGATTTCCTCCGTACAATATGAGGCAAAACTTTTGTAGAAAATAACATTCACTTTACGCTCAATATGAGATGCATTAATGGTTTTGGGATGATTTTCATGTTACCATAATTCTTACAAACATTGAATCCGCAGCTCAAAGGCAAGTTGGGGAAACTGCTTTAAATGATAAAAGCTCAAGATCGCATCAAATAATCAGGCTGGTATGCTCAGATTGTATTCTTTCATTATCTCTTCATAGAGATACAACAAGCATATTAGTGTCTGAGCAATCATTTAGCTACTCAGTCCAATATTTAACAATATTTTTTCCATCCTTGGAGTCTTCCGGGCGTACATAAGTTTTATTTGAAATAAAAGTAGTATCTAGTAATTTTTGGGGTGGCTATGCCCTCTTGACATGGTCAATCTTCTCGTTTTTTCTTCCTAATTAAGTAAAGGTTCAATATGGTTCTCCGTAATTATTGATATGTAATCCTTGTTTACTCTTTCTTCTTATAGTTCTACCAGCATTAAACCAATTTTTATTTGTCTCCATATATGTATATGTATCAGACCATAGAGAGCAGTCTAAGGGAAAGTTCAGGCCGTTTGAAGTCTTATTTAGCCAGTCTGGTATGCCATATCTACTTTATTCTGACCTGAATTTTTTCGTATCAAATAAGTCATAGCGACTGGAATTCCTAATGTTTATAGAATCTGGTGGATCTTGCTGGAAGTGAACGCATATCTCAAACAAAGACAAGTGGTGCAAGATTGAAGGAAGGCAGCCACATTAATCGAAGTTTATTGACACTCACTACAGTCATCAGGAAGTTAAGGTTAGCAGCTCCAGATATCTGTAACATGTCCCAATGCATGTGGAACTACTTGTTATTGTGCTTCTTGTAGGACAAAATGATAACTCGTAAGTTTATTGATGTTTGATTTTTTAAAGTAAAAATCCCGAGGTGTTGATAAAAACTTGGTTGTAAAAAAGAATCCCAACTATTTTAATAACGGTCTTACCGAGTTGCTTGCTTCCATTGAGTGAAAAGCTATGTTAACGGTCTACTTTCTACAACATGGCGCGTTTTCTGATTGTCAAAAAACTTTGGTGGAGCTCGGTTATGTTGTGTAAATAGAGCTGTTTGATGATTTTTGATTTTTCCAATCAAGTTATATTTCCTCTGGGAAGTTGAGTAATGTAGTAGTGGACTTGATTATTGTGATATGATAAGTTGCTTTATTGCTACGTAATTTGGTCATAACACAAGCGTCTAATTGGGCTTTTGGGTCCCTTGTGCGCAGTGGTGGAGAACGTGGTCACATACCATATAGAAGTTCAAAACTCACCAGAATTTTGCAGTCTTCGCTTGGGGGGAATGCTCGGACAGCAATTATATGTGCTATAAGTCCAGCCTTAAGTCATGTGGATCAGACAAGAAATACCTTAACATTCGCGACCAGTGCAAAGGATGTCATTAATAATGCTCAAGTAAACATGGTAGGGACTAATGCCTTAAATTGGTAGAGAATCATTTTTTCTTTAGTGGAAATTCTCTTGGATATTACTGAAGAAGTTAACAATATTTTTAAAAACTTGATTGATAATAGAGCACGATAGCGTCGTGCAATTTATATAGCCAATCTCACCTAGTGGGACAAGGCTTGTTGTTGTTGTATTATCCAAGAAAGAAATGCATTCACATATTCATGAAATCCTAATGCCTAGTGAGCTTAATATTCATATTGGTGTTTTAGGAATTATTTTCTTCATATTAGAATTAGCCAATTTTGTTGGGTTGGGGGGAAGCCAATTTAAGCTTAAGTAGGAGGGCGTTTTTTCCGCAGATTGTTTCAGATAAGTCACTGCTTAAACACTTGCAAAAGGAAGTAGCGAGGCTTGAAGAAGAGTTGCGAAGCCCTGAACTTACTTCTTCATCATGTTTGAGGTCTTTGTTAGCTGAAAAAGAGTTGAAAATTCAACAGGTATACTTGGTGTTAATTTTCATGCGGCTGAACTAAATTTTAGAATGACCTCCTCTGATCTTCTAAATGGATTTTTTTTGTTCTTGTATCTATGAGCTTTTAGCTTTTCATTGCCTTGTCTCAAGACGTGGTCAAGGATTTTCATCACGTGCCATATTTTCTGCATTTGCAGTAAAGGCTTACGGCTCCTCTTGGCTTTCACTTTTTATCGTTGCAATTAGGCTTCCATCAGTCAACTCTCATTACAATAGGTGACCAAGGCATTTATGCTAAGGAAAACAAATTATATGCACTTATATGCAGATCCTTAAGTGTAAAGTTTCTGTAAACAAGTGTATGGTTTGTTTATAATTAAATTAAATCTTCCCGTGATTGAGTTTCTTAAAGAACTTTTCACACATGCCATAGTTTTATACGAAACCTTGTTATAAAAATATATAAAACAACACCTTATCCTTTATATAATTCACATAGGAAACATTGACCTTCTTGAAGTTTTATAATCCCTCCCTTTCTTTTGAATGAAGAGAATTTACAATTACTTGATAATTATAAATTCAAATTTTCAGATGGAGAGTGAGATGGAAGAGCTGAGGCGGCAGCTTGCACAATCTCAATTTGAGCTTGAAAGAAGAAATAAGGTTCAAATGATTGTAAGAGAGATTATGACAACATTTATGGAACATTAATTTACTCTCAACTAAACTTATCAAGTTGTTGCAGGGATTAAATCAAAATGAGCCTTCTAGTCAAGTGGTTAGATGTCTTTCCTTTCCTGTAGATAATGAATCGAATCCGGATGAACATCCTCAAGAGCGAAGAGAAGCAGTAGGAAGGCATGCAATACTGAAGAAACTACTGGCTTCTCCTGATCCATCCATACTGGTTACTGAAATCCGGAAGCTTGAGAATAGGCAGCTACGGCTCTGTGAGGATGCAAATCGAGCACTACAAAATCTGCATAAGGATTTTGCGACCCACAAATTTGGAAATCAAGAAACTGCTGAAGCTCTGTCGAAAGTGCTGTCTGAAATCAAAGACATGCTAGCAGCTAGCTCTACTCCAGAAAATATTGTGGTTGCAGACAAAGCCAACTTGATGGAGGAGATCTCTCGATTGAAGTCTCAACGAGGCACTATTTCATCTCTAGAAAGGAAGTTGGAGAATGTACAAAAATCCTTTGACAAGCTAGTCTTGTCTTTTCCGAGTACAGCAGGGACTCCAGAGAACAAGACCCAATTGAAAACGAAGAAAATTCTTCCTTTCAGTTTAAGCAACAGTCCCAACGTGCAACATATAATACGCGCCCCATGCTCACCTTTATCCTCTTCTTCTAGAGTCACGGAACATGAAACAGAGAACAAGGCTCCTGAAAAAGACATTTCTCCTAGAAGTAGCGATACAAGACTAAGGTCACATACAGGCGTGTTTTTTTCACAGGAAGGAAGTCCAGCTATGCAGCAATCAAAGTCAATGAATGTTAAGAAGATTCAGAGGATGTTTAAGAATGCTGTTGAGGAGAATATTCGAAGCTTCAGAATTTATGTTACTGAGTTAAAAGAACTAGTGGCGAAACTGCATTACCAAAAGCAGCTTCTTGTTTGCCAGGTAAAATTTATTTTACATCAAATAATTCTAGAGATCCCCACTATAATTAACTTACTTCATTAACATCAATATGACTTAGCGCCGTGTCCTTTTACTCATATCATTGGAAATACTTCGTGCCTTTAACCTTCAATTACGCCAGAACTCTTTATAGGCTCCACAGTTCCTTTAATGGGATGCCAATCTCTGGGTTGCGCTGTAATAGGAAATCATTTTCATCATGATGTGTCACAGGACATACAGAGTTAGAACATAATCACTCCGGTTCTTATTATAAGATACTTTTAATTATTCCATACATCTTAAAAAAAGTTAATTTTTTTTTTTTGATATCATAAAAGATTGAGAGATACTTTTATTTTTACCCTTGATTATACGCTAAATATTTTACGTTAAATATTTTACGCTAATCAAGAAGGGGTAAAATTAAAAAAAAGTAATTTAATTATTACAAAGTATTCTATGTTTTGGACTAAAAATTATTTTTAAAAGTTGTCTTATAAATAGGATTTGAAAGAGCATTACCTTTTTGATGCTTGGATGTATAGTTAAAATTCCGTTTTTGGTGCTCTATCTATCTCATGGATAATTAGAGTATGGCATTAATTCTTCCTTCACCTAACAGCTCTTACATCTATTAACATAGTATACCAAATGTTGCTGATAATAAATGTCCAATAGTAATATTTTGAAAAAATACTTATTTTGATATTTACCCTTGTAGGTTTTGGAGCTTGAAGCAAATAACTTTGTGAACGAAGTAGATACATGTGCACGATCTTCCATGCCGCGGCATATTCTATTTGAAGAGAATAGAAAACAAATCGTCATGTTGTGGCATTTATGCCACATTTCGATTGTACATCGCACACAGTTTTATCTTTTGTTAAGGGGAGATCCTTCTGATCATACATATTTGGAAGTTGAACTGAGAAGATTGACATGGCTTGAGCAACACCTGGCTGAGCTAGGGAATGCTAGTCCTGCACTTTTAGGGGATGAGCCTGCAGGTTCAGTTTCTGCTAGGTACAAGAGTTATTTTTTTCTTTTAAAAAAAATCTTTTCCCTTCTTTTAGATTGTTCTAAATAGAAGTGGCGTGTGCTTCTGCATCTTATTTCTACTTAAGTAAATGAGATAGACCAGTGAATATGAACATATAACGATTTTATTCATTTGCTGTTGGTTTTTTGAATCAAATGCAGCATCAAAGCTCTTAAGCAAGAAAGGGAGTATCTGGCTAAGCGAGTGAACTCAAAACTTACAGCCGAGGAAAGAGAACTGCTTTATGCTAAATGGGAAGTTCCCGCAGTAGGGAAACAAAGGAGGCTCCAGCTGGTGAATAAATTGTGGACTGATCCTTATAACATGGAACATGTACAAGAAAGTGCAGAAATCGTAGCAAAGCTCATTGATTTTTGTGGAACTGGTGAAAATCTTAGCAAGGACATGTTCGAACTGAATTTTGCAAGCCCTTCTGATAAGAAAACATGGGCGGGCTGGAACTTTATATCAAATCTTTTGAATTTATGAGACAAATTTGACCTTTTTACATCATGTCTCTTCTACAGGTCAAAGGTACATCCTTTGAAGCACGGAATATTAGAGTTCAAAATGTTTCTGTAAAATGTCGTAAATCTTATTCTTATCTTAGAAAGGACATGTTTGAACTTAAAGATTCCAACTCCTTCTGGTAACACGATATAGCTGGGCGGGAACTTCATTTGTGAAGTGCGGAATATTGAAGGGCAAAATGTATGTGTATAATCTTGTAGATTTTATGAAAGCTTCTGAAATCTTGTACTGACGTTAGAATTTTGTCATTTAACAATGCTATGAATAAAATGAAGGATATAACATTACGGGGGGAAAATGTTTACTGCTCCAATCCATAAAATTGAGAACTAATTCGGGCATCTGTCAGGAAAGGAGGCCGTGGATTTGTTCAACATGATAATGATGCCTCGTCAAATTCTTCTTCTTATGTCGAGGACCAGGAAGTGTTTGTGTTGGGTCACATCATTGTAGTCTATTCCGGGGTTTAATGTCCGACAGTATCCTTGGTGTTGGGGTCTCAGTCAGTAGCCATGTTAGGGAAAGCAGGCCCCGAGCCTGAGGGAAGGGCGAAATTGATGACCCTGACCCTGTGTCAAATCATGCCCGGCCGCATAAGAGAATTTCTTATCCGGGTGTCTTTTTACGCTGAATATATTATCAAGAAGTACTCCCTTCCATCCATTCAAAGATATAAAAATTTGTTTGAAGGATTAAATATTTAAAACTATAAAATATTTTTATTTTTTAAAAATAAAATTATTATTATTTTTAAAAGTATCCTTAATAATAATAATTTTATATTTATTATGAAGTATTTAATAAAAGTAAATATTAAAAAATAAAATTAATTTAAAAATAAATAATTAATTTATTAAAAATAAAATTTAATTAAAAATACTTTGACATTTTAAGCCACGGAGTATCTAATATTAAATCTATTTTTTCAATAAAATGTCTCATGAAGTGCTTACGATTGTGCAAATAGAGTCTTACAAAAGATGGAGGGGCAGTGCAGGGTGAAATGGCGGCAGAGAACAGGATTGGAAAAGCGAAATGGAAGAGAAAAAATTGATGAGGTTGGGTGTTGAAATTGAAATGGAGACAAGTGGGAGGAGCGAGCAGACAGGTCGGGAGGAAGGGATTGGGAGCATGTTTGGGAATTCTATTATTAGGAAGGAGGGAATGAAATTGTGTGTAAAGGAAAAAGCCATTTTCCGCCATAAGCCCTCTTCAGAGAAACAGCGGTCCATTGGGATTTCCCGGCAATGGCCGCTGGTCGCTCTTTCCTTCTCTTGCCGCTCTTCCTCCTCACTCTCTCCTTCTCTCCCGCTTGCCTCCCCAATTCCGAGGACGACGCCCTCCTCCAGCTCAAACGATCCTTCGCCCCTTCCTCCTCTCTCTCTTCCTGGATCCCCAATTCCTCTGCCTGCTCTGCCAGGTGGCTTGGCGTCTATTGCACCAACAACCTCGTCGTCGGTTTGCACCTCTCTAATATGGCTCTCTCTGGCACCATTGACGTCGATGCCCTCCTTCGCCTTCCTGGCCTCCGCAGCATTGGCTTTGTCAATAACTCCTTCTCCGGCCCCATCCCCCAATTCAATAAACTCACCGCCCTCAAGGCTCTCTTCCTCACCACCAATCAATTCTCCGGCCCCATCCCTCCGGATTTCTTCGCCAGCCTGGCCGCCATCAAGAAAATCGGCCTCTCTGGCAATAACTTCTCCGGCGACATACCCAACTCTCTGGCCAGGCTCCCCTTGCTTGTAGAGCTGCGCCTTGATGACAATGGATTCTCGGGAGCCATTCCGTCTTTCACTCAACACTTTCGATCGTTCAACGTTTCCAACAACCGATTGGAAGGACCCATCCCCGATGAATTGGCCAGTTTCGGCGGGACGTCCTTCTCCGGAAACCCAGGATTGTGTGGGAAAGTAGTGGGGAAGGAGTGCGAGGAGGAGGCGCGGCAACAAGGAGCAACGTCTGGGGAGAAAAGGACGGGATTGGTGAGGGCGGTCATTACGGTCATAATGGTTTCGATAGTAGTGATGCTGATAATAGTATTGATAAAGACGGCAAGGAGACAAGAGGGCAACAGAAACATGGGAGGCATCGGGGTTAGAAAGGACGGGGGAGGGGAAGAGGTGGTGCAAGTGCACGTGCCCAGCTCGAACCACAGCAGGACATCGGGATCAACTAAGAAAGGGTCGAATTCGGTTTCGAAAAGAAATGCCGTGGGGGACTTGGTGATGGTGAACGAGGAGAAGGGCGTGTTCGGGCTGCCCGATTTGATGAAGGCTGCTGCGGAGGTGCTGGGCAACGGGGGCATGGGTTCTGCTTACAAGGCCACCATGAGCAATGGATTGTCCGTGGTGGTCAAGAGGATGAGGGAGATCAACAAGATCAGCAGAGATTCCTTCGACGCCGAGATGAGACAGTTCGGCAGAATCAGACACCCAAATATCCTCGCCCCTCTCTCCTACCACTATCGCAAGGAGGAGAAGCTCATCGTGTCTCAATACATTCCCAAAGGCAGTTTGTTGTATGTCTTGCACGGTATACGCGCACATTCAATTCAGTTGTATAATTGCATACCATACCATGTATGCCATTATTGATCAATTCATTTGTTTCCAATCATGCCATGCAGGGGACAGAGGAACGTGCCATGGCGACCTCCACTGGCCCACCAGGTTGAAGATTGTCAAGGGAATCGCGAGGGGGTTGAGTTTCCTGCACTCTGAATTCGGATCCCACGACTTGCCCCACGGTAACCTCAAGTCCAGCAATGTTCTGTTGAGCGATGCGTACGAGCCGCTCCTCACTGACTTCGCCTTTCATCCCCTCATCAATCCAAGCAGCGCTCCCCAGGCACTGTTTTCCTACAAAACTCCGGATTACATACAATACCAGCAAGTGTCCCGAAAAACCGATGTATATTGCCTCGGCACCATTATCCTAGAGATCATGACCGGCAAATTCCCTTCTCAGTATCACAGCAATGGCAAGGGCGGCACCGACGTTGTGCAGTGGGTGCTCACCGCCATTGCGGAGGGAAGAGAGGCCGAATTGATAGATCCCGATATCAAAACTAACGACACCGAGTCTCTCAGTCACATGCTGCAGCTTCTCCAGATCGGGGCTAGTTGCACCGAATCCAATCCTCAACAACGACTTAACTTAGGCGAAGCCATTAGAAGGATAGAGGAGGTTCAAGTCTAACACACAATGCAAGCCTCGTGTCAATATTCTAGCTTTCATTCCATTAGCTGTCAAGTTGCATGCTTTGTAGGTCCGAGAATTATTGCAGTTTTAAGCAACAAGGTTCATTATACTCCTATTATTCGTTCGTGGATCTCCTCCAGAATGAGGCTAATGGATGCCCGACAATCAAGCGAAACTCCGATCCAACCAGACCGTGTGACGAGTCTCTTATCTGCTAACACAATCCTTGTTGTAATTCTAATCCATTTCTGATCGATTGAAACCCTGTTTAGTGAATTTTTAGTAGCTAGGAGTTACCATTTATAGCCGCGCGCCTCGCTGGAACTAGCAGTTTTCCCCTCCCCATCCATGTATTCTCAGATTGAGGAATTGCTTTCATCTCTCCCTCTCATTCTTTGTAAAAATTTTCCGATGTTTTGTCAATACAAATTGGTACTTTCCAAGTTTTGTTAGATTGAGAGAGTTTTTTTTTTTTTTTAATTACAAGGCCATGTAAAACCGTGGAAAAAATTAAGGTCTAATCATATTTAAAATTATGAGATTTTTACAATCATGCAGTAGTTTATTAAAAATTATAATATTAAAGGTATCATCAAAAGCCAATGAGTTAAGAGATTTGCACATCAATTAGCTTCTTTATGAATATAATCAAAGGTAACTATTTAATTTTTCATAACAAGATTTTTGATCTTTCTGATAATGTCATGATACCGGTGACTCTCAAAGTAAATATGATTAATGAGTGATAATGCCTCCATTGAATCAAAGTAAATATTGATTCTTAATAGTTTTGTATTCCAGTAAAATTTAAATCCTTCAAATCTTTTCATAAATTCTATTGTTGTGCTAGGTTGATATTCAAGGAACTTAAAAAAAATCTTTAATTCAATTACAAATAAAGAAGTTTCAAAGCATTGGATATCTAAAGTAAAATAAATACATATTACTTATTATTTCATGCTCTTTGACCAGCATGCCCATTTCATATTCAAAATTTTAGTGGATCGTTTTTGATATTTTATTATCAAAATAGGAAAAATCACATTATTTAATAATAAAAATAAATATATAATAATTTAGTTGACTGAGATTTGTCTGATTGTTCTCAGTATTTCAGAAGAGACATTACCTATTATCAACTCCTTACATTTTTCAAAAATAAATGAATGAATAAATGTGCATTTTGAGTAAACAATGCTCATCTTTTACAAAAAGTTGAAAAACAACAAGCTTGTTGCAAGTGATGATCCTAATCATTATTATTGGACAAATATAGTAATTTTGTGAACCTAAACACATTAAGAATGGAATTCAAAAATAATAATAAGGACAAAATTTAGGTACTTAATTTTAAATTCTTAATATATTTTTATCCAATTAATTTAAGGATGAGTGAATTTTAATGTACTAATAATTTAACAACAAAAAATTATTATGAAATAAATAATTCATAAAAGATCAACATGTTTTGATTTAAACAGAAACAAATATCTTAAGATATGTTGGTAGTGGTAATAATAAGACTAAAATGCAAAAAACTATCATGAATTTTAAAGTAATTGCATGACATTTCTCATTATTTAATGTTTAAAATTAACCCCTTAGTCTTTCATTTTGCTTTTTCAAAACACTTACCATTAACTAACTATTATTTTATTAATATACTTATTTTCATATCGCATTAATGCAATACATATGCCACATTATATAGAAAAAATATTTTTATTATTTTTTAACACAATTTAAAGAGGGTTAAAATTATAATTTTTATTTTTAACACACACGATAATGCTTTTATTTTTTAAGTTACGTATATTATTTTTATTTTTTACGGGTAATATAATTCTAAAAAAATTATAATTTAATTATTTTTATGAATTAAAATAAATTTTTATACTAAACAAATAAAAAGAAAAATATTTAAAAGTTATCATTGTAATATCTCAATTTAAATTTTTATGGTCAAATTAGATTAATATAATTTTAAAGAATATTTAAAAATAAGTAAATTAGTTAAGAAATAATTATTAAATTTAATATTTTAAATTAGGATTTTCAAGAATTATTATTATTACGACAGTAAAAGAGGGGTGGGGACCGGATATATATCCGTTGGGGTGTGTCTTTAGTGTGTGCGGCCCACGCCACACTTTCAGTTTCTAATTTTTTTTAATCATTAATTTTTTTTAGTTTTTATTTTGGTGATGGTGTAAAATATAAATTTTAAAAAATTAATAAATTTATGATGAATAAATATAGTTATTGAGGTTATTAATAATATAATAAATATTTTAAAGTATTATTTTATTAATAAAATTTAAATTTAAAACTTATGAGTGAAATATTAGATTCCTATAGGTAAATTTTTAGTAAATATGAAAACATAAATTGATTTGTCAAAGTTTAGATGTTTATTTGGGATGAAAACATATTATTATAATTATAAAATAATGATTATAAATTTGAGACTAAATTTATAATTTTTGAGCTAAAAATTATGGAATAAAAGGAGAAATTTTGATAGTAAAAAATGGTTTGAAGGTTAATATTTGCTTATTTGTTTTTATTGATAATTAAGGGAGGATTTGGAATTTTTTTAGGATGCTAGCTCTAGACTAGTACTAATAATAGGATTAGAAATTATGTTATACTCTCTCTAATTTTATTATTAGAGTTACTTTATTAGTTTCAATAATTGAAACTAATATTTATAAATAATGTACTATGTGTATATTTTATTATTGGTGATAGTTACGATGGAAGAAAAATTATAAGAAATAATTTATTAAAAAAGTTATAAGGCAATCATGTTTTGATTTGTGAGTTGTGTTGCTTCATGTTAATTATGTGATTATTGAAAAAATTATGAATTGTTATTGAGAAATTATTTTGTTATGTTTGTGAAAAAATTATGATATTATATTTTGAAGTATTTTTGTCAGATGAGATGACATGATATAATATTGTTGAAAATTAAAAAATTATAAAAATTGTAATATTGCATGATTGTACAATATTGATATGTAATTGTTTGATTATTGTGGGGGTGTTGGGAAACTTGTTATTGTTGTTATTGTATTTTATGCCACATGGTTCGCCCGACTTGTAAGGATTCACACTGCTCTACTTTTGGTCAAATAATATAGCATTGAGTGAGGGTTACGATTCAAGGTTAGTAGACAAGAATAAGGATAATTATTTATTATGTATTACAATATCTCTTATATTTTTTGTTAGAGTTATTTAACTATTGTTTTCCCATTTAGCAAATGCACTTATAACTATTTACATGTATTATTATGAGTTGGGATTTGTTATTAAGACTTTTGAATTTTATTACGTGGTTAACAATTTTCAGGAGATCAAATGAGTTGTGAGTGGTGTGTGAAGGAGTGTCTAAAGCTTGGTGGTATAGATTTACTGTCTCTTTTAAATAATTTGATTTGTGATTTTAATGACGTTATATTATTATTGTTAGGGTTTTTTTTTGTTTATTGAACATTATGTGAATATGGTGATGTAATTATGCTCTTCAAATTATTCATGCTTTTAGTAAACATTGGATGAATGCAATTTTGATATCTGGTTTATTTTAAATGGTTTGAAATGATATGATTATGAGACCATATAACTGACTTGTTTTGAACATTAATTAAGTTGTATATTTTGATTGTTGGTTTTATGGTTTGCACTTATTGAGAGTATTAAGTTGAAAAAAATGTGATTCTGACTTAATAACATTTAGAAGGTTAAAATTTATTTGAGATTTTGTATTATGCAAACCTAAGCCAATTATTAAAAGATTTTATATTAAATTTATTGACATAATATATATATTTTTTGCCAACATTGATATAAAATGTATTAGGTGACTATAATTCAACTATAGTTATAAATATGTATTAATAGTACTAAAAATTATTTTGTGTTATTTGGCGAGGTTGGTAGGTGGTTATAAGATTTTAAAATACACAATTATTTCTATTTTTTATATTTTATTGCATTTATCATATTATCAATTTTAAAACAATTTTTTAGGCATTTCACACTTATTTTATTTTTAAATACTTGGAATCCCAAACTTTAAAAATGACAATTTAAAGAGTTTAAATTTTACTTATCATAATAGTACTAATATATTTAGCTTAATCTTTTCTACCATGATGTCAGTTTAAGGAAAAAATAGTTAACTTTTATTTAATATGGTAGACAGTTTTTTACCATTGTTAAGTTAATTATTTGAGAAAAATTTTCAAAATGTTATAGTCATTGATAGTAATTATATAAATAAAAATTTATCCTTTTATATAAAAAAATCATGATATTTTGAAAGTTTTTTTTTAACAAAATCAATACAAATACTAATAGCAAAAAATAAAATAAAAATATTATTCTAAAGTAGAACATACTTTTTTTAATAAGTGATGAAAGCTCCATTTAAAAAAGAAAATAACACTTAAAACAAATAAGAGTTTGATGAAAATAAACAAAACAAGTAAACAAATTTACATGACTTTTATTAATGATATCTTTTAGATATATTTTTTTATATGTTTAATATAAAAGACTATTTTAATTAATACAAAATAATAAAATTATAATTTTTTCTTAAATTTTATTACTAATGAATAATAAGAATAATATCATTCAACTAAAAAAAAAGATAAACTCATCATGCGTATTGAAAATAAAAATTATAATTTTATTCAACTTTAAATTTGTTAAAAATAATAAAATATTTTGCTCATGTTATATGCCATTTGTTTTACATTAACGTAACATGATAATAATTATATTAATAAAATAATAATTAATTAATAACAGAATATTTTAAAAAAATAAAATAAAAAATTAGAAAGTTAATTTTAAATATTAAAAAGTGAAATGTTTATATATAATTATTTTAAAAATCAAGAAAGTTTTACGTAGTACTGCTTAATGATGATGAGTGGCTGAAAAGTTTGACACATGGCAATACATTACGGCACAGCTATACGCGGATCTGCTTCTAAACAATGACAGACCTAAATAAAACCCCACCGCCGGACCTAAATCCCGATGTGCGATATGCCGCCACGACGATATGTATCGAACAGCGGCCAAGCGATTCCTCTCCAGTACAATGTCTCTTAATTACGCGTCCGGCCGATTCCACTTCTTCTCTCCTTCATTCCTACGCGCTCATCTCTTTTCCACTTCTCAAAGTGAACCATCTTCTAATCACTGCTCCAACCATCAGCCTCGCTTCCAAAGCCCTAATTTTTTGTCTTCAGATTCATCTTCCTCATTCTCCTATGAGACCCCCACATCAACAGCTATGCATCAAGACGAGCATGCTCGCGTGCTTCAAGCCGCCCTTCCTCACGTTGTTCGTACACCCGCCTATTATTATTCTTTCTGCTGGCAATGCTTTCGCGGTTGAAAAACATATTACAGTCGATATGTGGATCTGTGAATTAGTTTGGATTCCAAAATATACTTGTGAACTGAAAAGCTCTGAGAAAAATCCAAACGCGGGTTTGTGTGTCCGCTGCACATACCCAACAATTTTTCTCCTGCGGACACATCACTGCGCTTGCTAAATTCGACATTTATTTTTTGTTATTTCGATAGTTGTTTTACCACTGCTAAGAAATCCAAGAATGACTCAGAAATCGTGACTTTAGCTGTAACAATAAATTGTGGCTCTCGTTTGACGTCTTGCAGATAAAATTGGGGTGGACCGAAGCAGCGTTGATTGCAGGGGCAAGGGAAGCTGGCCTGTCCCCTTCGATCATTGGATCATTCCCGAGGAAGGAGGCAGCGCTGGTTGAGGTATTTTCTTTCCTGCCTATTCTTTTGCCATTCTGAGCGCTCCCTTCGTCTTTAACCTTAATGTCTCTTGCTGGCGTATGTAATTCTCTTGAATGTAGATGACAGAAAAGGAAAGCTAGATATGCTTCCTTCTGTCAGTCTCGCTGTCCGCAATTTACAAGTGATTGTACGTCTCTTACGGATTGGAGTAGAGTAGTTCTCTCCTCCTTAACTTTTATCGCTATTTCGATCAGCTCATCCTTGATGAGAATGTGTTTGGTGATGTCATGTGTGGCCATAAATACAATTGATCTCACATTACTTAATAACTACAATATAGAAGAAAGATCGACTCATTTAATGCCAAGTTGGGGTAAAGTTTGTTACTGTTGTCATCTGTAAACGTATCTAATAATGCAATGTCAACAGCCTATGCCATCATTCCAATCTAGTTTTAAGATATTGGGTTAACTATGAATGTATAATGGGGTTGATTTGATCTGTGCAGTAGTTATGCAGCAATCGATCTTCTCTTCCCTTGTTGGTAAGACTATATCTCCAAAGGAAGGATGAGTGCTGAAATGGTAGAAGAAAAGGAAATTACTGTTATGATCTCTCACTCTCTGCATTCTGGCTGACATCATATTTTATGTGAGATTTAGCCTTTAACGATTCACCCCTTCAGGAGTTAAAAATGATGCTTATCAGTACTTGTGGTTTTTCAATTATTGGATTTAATGCATAAGTCATCTTTCCATGTACATTGTTAAGCCTTTATGATTATGATAGATTGCATGCTGCTGGCAGAAGAGTGCTTTCTTTTCAAGAGTTATTCTGTTTTGACACTATTCTGTGTAATTTATTCAGTTTTTCATGGATGACTGCTTACAAAGGCTTGTCAATAGAATTGAATCGGATGAGGGGTTAAAAGACTTGACACCAAGTGATTGCATCTCTAAACTTGTCAGAGCTCGTCTAGAAATGCAAGCTCCATATATATCAACGTGGCCTCAAGCTCTTAGCATTCAGGTCTATCTGTCTGATTCTTTTTGACTCCGTTCTGCTAGTTATAGAGTTGTAACTTCAATTTGTAGAGCTGAAAGAGTCTAGAATTTGTGATATATGAAATCCTGCGCAGGCACAACCAGCCAACGTTCCAACAAGTTTTAAGCAGAGGGCTATGCTTGTTGATGAGATCTGGCATGCAGCTGGTGATACTGCATCAGGCATTGATTGGTATGTCAAGCGCACTGTCCTTGGAGGAATATATTCAACAACTGAGATTTATTGGCTGACCGATAAATCTCCAGGTTTATTTCTTTGTTCTCCCTCTTTCAGGACCTAGATCTCCTGGCAATTTTTCTTGATCCAGTTTCCACCCTAATGATTTGGCCTTTTGTTCTGGGACACCCCTTAGATGTATCTTATGATTGTAGTGGACATTATTCTCTGACACTGCTATTCATCTAGGTTTAAACAAGATTCCTTTTTGTGAACGCCGAGGAAATTGATTCGTTAATTAGGTTCGAATAGGACTTTTCTCTGAAACGTTTAATTATTCTGAGTTGTGAATGTTATATTTTCTTTTCCCATGGCAATAAATTTGATAGTTGCCTAAGTGAATTGAGGGAAAAAGCACCGACACTTCATTCTTTCGTGACCGGGTTCTGATTCCATTTAGATTTTATGTACTCTTTGGTCTTATTTATAAGGTGAAAAAAGCACTTTTTTTTGACCATATTTATAAGTGATGTCATTAAATGATGTATGTTTAAATAATTTCACCCTCTTACCTTACATTAAATATTGGTGAGAGAAAGTGTTATTAAATAATGTATATTTAATAAGGATAAAGTTGAAAACATAATAAATTTTTAAATTGAATTAATGACTTTTTAAGTTTTTTTTTTAAATTTTTGTAAATATTTTATAAGTGACTTATAAATAGAACTAGAGGAGTATTCAATAAGACCCTACTGTTAATTGTTTGAGTTTGAGGAGCGAGGATTTTTTCTTGATGCTTACATGGCTTGTTTTCTGGCAGATTTTTGTGACACATGGGCTTTCCTGGATGGTCGTGTGAATGATGCTTTTGATCTTCAGAAAAGCATTCAAGAGGTCTTGTTCCATTGCTTACTGTGATCGGTTCCTTGGGCATATAAGTTCATTATTTGGAAATGGAGTGATTGGTATATTCTCAAATTTTCTCTACTGTGATAATAATTGCAGGCACAATATTTGGCAGAAGCTGTGGGTACTGGGATGGGGAGCTCTTTGCAAGGGTTTGTTAGGAAAGTTTTTCAGAGATAAATTATGGTGTTTGTGTTGAGCATCCATTATTCGGTCACTTAGAAAACCATGACATGATCTTAAACACGTTTTTTTCTAGTGAATGTTTCGCACTTGGTGAGGCTTGGTGTGAGTGCAAATTAAAGGTGAGCAAAACTAAACAAAACTGATTAAACCAAATCAATTCAAATTAATCCAATCAAAGCTGAATAAAATTGATCATTAATAAGGTTTGGTTTGGTTTTGTTAATTAAAAAATTGAATGGTTTGATTTTTGATTTGTTTTTTTATCCCTTTGAAATCTTAACCAAACTTGAACTATATCTTTTTATATTTTTAGTGTATTTTTTATAATTAATATTCGATTGTTAATTACTCTTTATTATTTTTAAATTTTAACCTCAATTAAAGTCTAGTTCAAGTTTAAAATATTTTAATAGAATTCCTAATCTTGCTTTTCTCAATTTTGTTAATTGTTTTAAGTATAAAAGATGGTCTAGACTAGGGACCTGTATTGTCGTTACACGACTTGCTACTGAAATATGTTTCTCTTTTATTGATTTAAAACAAGCTTAGGCATTAAGATAATTTGTAATGAAACTTGTGTTAATGTTACTTATAATGCGTATATTTTGGTGTTTATTAATAATAAAATTTGAATATTTTTATTTTTAATGTGATTTTTAAGTTCATTCATAAATAACAAAGTTAAGAATGTGACTTGGTGTTGAAATATGAAAGGAAAAAAAGAGTTAAAAAAAATAGAGACTTGATCCGTATATAAATCAAATGGAATCCAACTGTCTAAAATCCAAATCAAATTGAGCTAAATAAAAAATTGATCAAATGTTTTCTTTTATGAAAATTGATTGATTTGGTTAGGTTCATATTTTGATCAACATCGAATCCAATCTTACTTTTCATCAGCCTTAGTGCAATTGCAATCCTCATTCATGTTTTTTTTTGGGTCAGTGGTCTACCATCAATAATTTCCGGCAATTTCAAGCAAACTGCACAAGTGTGGTCATTATGATAACCAATCTGTTGATGAAAAAGATTTTTCTTTCTAGGCATTTGTAATCGAGGGAAAGATCCGTAGTACTCCTGCAAGTCTTCGACCATCGTGCAACCGGACTAGATGTTTTTCTGAATTCTTTCAGCATCTTTAATATATAGCCGCTTTGACATCAAACAATGAAATTAAATTGACTGATGAACGGAAAAAGCTTGCATACTGGACTAAGGAAACTGGTTGCCTTCCGGTTCTCATGCACAAGAGGACGAAGAGAAAGTGCCTGGCTCTTCAATAGAAGTATGGCAGTTTATCATCATTACGGTAAGCGACGTAATCAATAAATATAGCTTGTATCAAGTCCTGAACAAAACAGAAAAACAGAAACAAATGTAGTCTATAAATCAAACAATAGCATGCCTGCGAGAGGGTTGGACACGATAAAACATATGTGCGTGTGATCAAAATAAAAGTGGCAGTGAATAGTTGATTGGATCTTTGTAGAGTACTTTGGGCTCTGCCCCTTAAGCGGTAGTTCTTGTCGGAGCAAGTGGCCAGCGAATTGCATTCGATTTACACTCGTGGTTTGCGTCCGTGTATTGTCGGGAGAGAGAGTGAATATCCTGCAAGACATCATGTGGGCAGCCCAGAACACTGGGTTTCAAATGCACTTTAAAAAGCAACGAGCTTTGACGCTGAACCCTGAAAGTTCTGTTTATAAAATACTTTTAATACATTTTATAAAATAAAAAAAATGTTAAAATTCATTAATTCTATTTAAAAATTAAATAATTTTTTAACTCTCTCTATTAAATATATATATTTTAATAACATATTTTCTCTCTTTATTATTAAATAAAAAAGTTATGATAAAAATTTAATAAAATAAATTATAAATAAGGTAAAAAAAGATCTTTATATCCTACAAATAAGTTAAGGGGAGATATGTCAGTCAGACACAAATCGCATGGTTCGGTTAGTCCCAGATCACCGTGCACCTTCCCTGTATTCAGCATCTCCTCTTCTACCAAGTCAGAGTCACTGTTACTTCTATACAGGTTCCACGTCATCCAACATCTTCCCATCACTTCATCGTGCGTTATTCCCTCCATCTTTATATATATATATATATATATATATAAAATATTTTTTAAAAATTTATTTTATCTTTAAATATAAAGAATGACAATAATATTTTTAAATAATTAAATGATTTTATCTTTGTCTTGAAAAATAAAATAGATCATTAATTATATATATTTTTTACTACCATTATAATATTAATTATGATATTATTAGGGATAAAATTAAAAAATTATTATGTTTTTAAATAAGTTCAACTAAATAATAAACTTTTATTGGTATGTAATATTTGATTAAAATACTTTTTATATAGAAATGAGGGAGTAAATTTTATTATTTTTACCTAAACAAAGTTACTCTCCAATTCACTTTATTGATCACTTTTTATAAAGATAAAGTGATACATTTTATAAGTCATTTGACTAATAATAATGTTTTGTTTTAAATAAAATATTTAAATTATCCTTAAAAAGTAAGAGAAAGAAATAAAAAAAATAATATTATATAATTCATTTATTTTTTGAAAGTTATATTTATAATTTTATTAAATTTTATTTTATATATTTTTATTATATTAATATTAATGAGATTGATAGAAATTATTTATAAATAAATTCGAAAGCAGCACATCTTAGTATCAAGAAATCAATAATTTTTTCCAAATCATTGTCGATTCCTCCTACCAGGTCGGAAAAGATAGGAATAAGTATAGAAGAACTTTCAGTTGCAATCACAATTCACAAATCTCTACGTAAGACGCAAGGAGAGATGTAAGGTTTATGGGAAATGAATGGGCCGAAATCAAAATGAAGATGGGCAAATAAACAGTGAAATAGGCATTGCAACGTTTAAAATTAAAAAAGAAATACAGGGGGAGAGGCAGAGAGGATATAGAGAAAGCAGGACATGAAAATCAGGGCTAATTCGTCGTAGGCGCCAAAACACAGAAACAAAGTATTTCTCTTTCCTATTCAGCGGTCACGTGCGGCCCTCAGAGGTTTTGCCATCGTGCCTTTCGCTTCCTGCTTGCTTCGCGTCTGCCACTGCTGTTCTGCGCTTCCCTCAGAGCAATAAACACCAACCCAACAAAATTTACAATGTGAGAGAGAGAAGAATCCCTTCACCTCAAGTCACCTCAGTCATTGCTGTAAATCTCAATCAAAAATCCCTCAGCCTTGCTTTAAATGGCTTCGTACACAGACACTTGCTGTTGCAGCCTTTCACTCGGCCGTCTTTACTATTTCTAATTGATAGTACCCTCTTCCCCATCCCCGTTAGGGATGGAATTGTTCCATCCCATTATGACTTATTTTTTTAAGTATAACCACTGGCCTCCCTTACCTAGATACCCACCCTTTCTCTCTTCTCGCCCTCCCACTGAATTTTACTGTCAAGTTATATTTTTAAAAGGTGACTTATATAATGAGCCGGAAGAGTAGCTCTCTTTCCTCTCCTCTCATTATCACCTCCTTTTCGCCCTCTTTTTCGATTTTGTTTTTGTTATTTGAGTTCCTGTTTCTTCTGCAAAAGTTCCTCTCTTTTTTGAGTTTTTTCTTTTCCCGTTTGCTTTCTCTCGGCTTCGACTCCTGGGTCTTAACTATCCTCTGTCAGACACCCTATTTACTGCTCTCTGCCACCCTCTCTTCGTATGGTATTCACACCTAACCTGATTTGCCGCTTCTTCTTTGTCACTTGCCATTACTGTTACTTGTACCCCCTTTGTCACTTCTGCGTCACCAAGTACTGCCGCTATTACTACCTCCCTGCCCCTCCTTCTGCGCCCATTTCTTGCTGTGTCTATTTCATTTTCTGCTCTTAACCCCTCTCTCTCTCTCCCATGGCTACTCAACTCGGCCGCTGTCCCTCCGTTCCCTCCCTACCCCCTCCCTCCCCCAAGTCGCCGCCGGACTACCCTGATTTGTACGGCAAGCGCCGCGAGACCGCCAGAGTCCAGATGCTCGAGAGGGAGATCAGTTTTCTTGAGGTGGGTTTCAACTTTCTCAAATTCTGGTCTTCACATGCCCTATTATATTGCTCATTGTTTGAAAGCAACTACTTTCAACGTTTCGACTTTCATTATAGAGCAAATGTGCGCGTCGCACATCCGTGCCATTTCCCAGATCTTGATTACTGAACCGTCCGAGATAGCGACTTGGGATGCTCATTCCTTGACACTTTTCACATAACATTCCATCAATAACTAGAACAGAGTTGTTAAAATGTCGTTTCCGGTAATCTCTGCCACGACGTATGGGGCCATTGGCGTTCGTTTGACAAACTTATGAATCGAGCGTGCGCTTCAATTTGAGGGCGAAGATTAGACACGCTCGACTAACCGATGACTTGTTAGCCTAAAAACAATCTCTTCGCTTGCAGCCTTTGAACTGCAGTCGCTGATTGTCCATCTCGCTATCCCATTTGAAAACTACAACACCGGAGGGACATTTGTGCCCTTGTCCCTTTAATTGCTCAGGTCGTGGAATATGCCCTCTAGTGTTTTTCATATCCTTTCACTTTTAGTAGGGGTTTGGCTAAGCCTTACATAATTCTGCACATAATATACAAATCTTCATCATATGCAGCGATCCAGCTGTGTGTGTGAAAAGGCTGAGATAGATGGCCAATGGAGACCGTTAGTATCGGATTCCCCTGTTCTCTTGGCTGCTAGATAGTTGTGGGATACCGTAAAATAGATTTAGCGACGTTAGAAACTTATCGTTATAATTAAATTATATTGCGGAATGATACAACTGACAATTTTGCTTCTCGCAGGAGGAATTGAAATCTGTAGAAGCCCATCAACCGGCTTCGAGATGCTGCAAAGAGTATGTTTCTTTCTGAGGCTTGTCCGTCTAACGCTTATGAATGAGACTCTTTCCTGGATAAATTTTGTAGTAGCATGAGAATAGTAAGGAACTGTTTCAGTTTATGTTAGCTAATTCAATGGTGAATTGAATGCGAGGATGTTTCAGGATTGCCGATTTTGTGGTGGCAAACTCAGATCCTCTGCTACCCACGTAAGAAATGTTGTGCTCAACCTTGTGTTAGTTTGAAAGAGATGATCCGGATGCTAATTCCTCTGTGTTTGAATCAGAAATAAGAAAGAGCGCCGGTCATGTGGCTTCTGGAAGTGGCTCAGGTACCATCCTGCACTTGTATGTGATATGATACGGATTATCATAAGTTAAGGAATTGTGCGGGATGAAGGCGGCTAAATTGTATGTAGAGTTGAACATGATTTGGCCTAAATGAGTAAATTGTTGTGCGCAGAGGGATGGCGTGTTGGAAGGTATCGTGGATGTGGTGTTGGTGCTGTGAAGAGTGTTGCTATGGTAATCTAAAATGGCGACGCAGGTGCAAGCCAAAGCAGAGGTGGGCATGTAGTGGTGGTAGTGGCAGTAGTTGTTGTAATGCGTGTTGGTCATGTCCAAGACCAAAATCAGATTGCTGCTGCTGCATTCCCCAAAGTTGTTGCAGTTTTCAATGTGATTCCTGCCCTTCTTGCTGCACTTGCAAATGTTCTTGCTCTTGCTCCTGCCCAAAGGTACGCCCGTGTTGCTCTTGTACAAACTCCTGCTGCTGCTGGAACCCCTGCCGTTTATGTTGCTAGTCTCTAATTCTCAAACTCTTGGGCCTTGTTCCTCAGCTCCTTCTTCAAACCCCGTTTACTGCTTCCCGTGTACATATTATTATTATTATGTTTTGTCAGCCAATGCCCAATAGTTCCCTTTTCGTTTTCAAATTTGAATTCATCATGTGGTCCTACATCAATGGTGGTGCTTGATTAAAATACAAGTGGCAGCAACATGTGTGACTTCCATCCACTCCTTTTCTTCCTGCGCACAACAATGTCCTTTCATTCAGTACATTTCACGGATATTAACCATTCTGGCCCGGCAAAGGAAGCGTTCGCTCGGAATTGACGACATCCCCATTCTGGTAAAATTTGTAAGTCTCAATTTCACCGCTCCTCCATAATTTATCAAATATTACAAGGAGTGATTATAATTTATCAACTATATGCTTTGTTATAAATTTTACTGAATGCACTAACATATCCATGTTGTTTCCGTTTCTAAATGCAAGTAGATATTAAAAAGAGCTTGTTAAAAGGTGTACTCGGATGAATTTTTATTATAAGGGATTTTTTAATGCCTATACGTATTATTTCAGTGCTGACAAAGAATATTAAGGAAATGTTTATGAAATATGTATATAACGAAACTATAAATTTTAAAATAATCATTTTTCAATGTATAAAAAATACTAGTCATTTTTCAAAAAAACTTAATAGTTATGTACATTATATAAATATTACATCTCGGGATACTGTTATAGCCTCCAAAACTCTGGGTGGATTCAGAACTCCGATCAGTCCATCAGGTTATCATTTATAAAGGAATGTAAACTGCCGGATCATTGACTGTAAACCTCCCATCTTCCTTCCCATCCCCTTTCCTCCTCTTCCCCCAGAATTATCGTTAACCTTTACATCAATGGCTAAAAGGAACCCACTCAATGCAACGACACCATTTTACGACAAACGGAGGTTTCATCTTTTTCTCACCAGAAGAACAGGAACTTGGTTAAAATAAACGAGCATTGATGGCTGGCTCGATCAGACACTAATAAATAAATAAAAAAAAGGATTTTCAATCATTGCAAGACTTGTTTTACATGGGTCAGGATGCTGATTTGATTTCATGATGTGATATTCTTCTTGATCATTCATCAACTTCCCTTTCTATTTATTGTTTTTGTTTTAATATATGGAAAAAGCTTATTTCTATTTATTTGTCTCTCTCTTAACTCCATTGTTAATTAATCCATTTGACTCCATCTTCCAGATCATTGGTTATCGTATTTTTCTGTCTTTTCTACTATTTGCTTTTAACTTTTCATTGCTTATGTATAGAGGAATGAGCGTTAACTACCTTCCATTTTCTAACAAAAAAGATGCCCCTGCATGAAATTTAAACCCTGGAGCATGAAGTGGGAATATCCAGATTCATGCCAGACAAAAACCCGCAGCTTCAAATAAATAAAAGATTTTGGGGAATCAAAATCAATACACTTTGTTGTTGGATAATTTTCAGCGGGCGAGGGTGCGGCTCAATCATAATTGCGGTGGCCACCGCAGCTTGAAACAACAGATGTAACTTTTGAGAAGGCCCCAAAGAACACTGTCGACGGCAGTCATGGCTTCTTGCCAAAGGAGAGACTCGTGGAAAGCAAAATTGAGCTTGAAGGGCATCTAGTGAAACCATGAAACGGGGTTGTTGCATCATGTGAGTTCTTATTGGCCATAGATGTCATGTAATTAACGGTGATGAACATGGGAGAGGAGGAAAAGAGGATGGAAAAATAAGAGGAGAGGTTCATTGCCCACCAAAAAAAAATTGACAACAATTATGTGTTGTCGAAAGTCTAACTTTTTGTGATGATTTTAGCTAATCTTTATTACAAATTTAAGTTTAAAAGTCATTGTTGTAAGTTTACAATCATCAATCATCGGTGATTTTAATTGTCATCCTTGAAAATTTGACCTTCAAAACAATCAACCCCAAAAGAATAATATTCAATAGTTATTATATACTGTCATTTTAATTTTTTATTTTTTATTTAATTCAATATTTAACATTTTAAAACATTAATTTTATTGTATTATTGTAATTTTATGATGAATAAATAAACAAGGTAATGAGTTTTTTATATATATTTTATGGTTAAATTGATATTTTACAATAATGGAACTATTTTAAGACAATGCATTATTTAATATTAATGAATTGAATTAAATAATTGAGTCCAACTGTATTATTTTAGGTTGATTTGGGTTAACAAATAATTTTTGGTTTGATTTGATTCAACTATTTAAATTAGTTTAGTATATTGGTTTTGGTAAATTCAACACGGAATGCTATTGAATTTATTGGTTTATAAATTCATTTATATGTTGGCCATTGGGGCGCCAAAGGAACCAAAGAATTTTCTCGGTAGGGACGGATTAGGGGGAATGAAGGGGTGCTTCCCCCCAAACCCGCGCATATCACAAAATTTTTGTTAAAATCACATGTTTTTTTTGCTTGTAAAAAGTGTTAAAATTAATTTTCTGCCCCTCTATTACGTAATTTTATATTTTGGCCTCCCACACAATTGGTTCTGGACCCGTCCTTGTTTCCAGGGCCATATCACACCCATTGTGAACATTGAAGCACATGATAGGGGGATACTTGAGTGCCTGAATAGCACAATCATATCTGAACCCAAAGCAAACAGGGGATCAAGTTTCCAACATGAGATGCCGAATGATGACATCGGAAATAGACATCGTGTTTATGTGGATGGGGCTTTCTCCACGAGATCTGGAGAGACTGGTGGTGGAGGGATCATTAAAGGCGGCATTTGGCAAATTGAAGGAGCTTTCATGCTTAAGGTACAGAAGGAGGATGCATTTGCTGCAGAAGCTTGAGCATGCCTAATGGGAATGAAGTTTACGCGACAGAGGAATCCGAGACTGTGTGGTGCTGCTCTGTGATTGCATGGATTTGGAAACCATGTTGCGGCCACGATAGGCTTTTGCATTTTTCAAGCTTTTGCTTTGTGATATATCTAGCTTTCCTTTTTATCAAAATAAATAAATAAATAAATTCATTCAAAAACTTATTATTTAATATTTTAATTTGAAAATCTTATATTATAGTAATGAGCCTCTATTTTTACATATTTTATAATTAAATTAATATTAAAAACAATAACATTGCTTTTTATAATAATTAGATATATGATGGTTAAATTTATTTGTCTATAGAATAATATTTTAACTAATATAATTTTTTTAATTCAAATTTTATATTTGATATCAAAAACATTAGTTCTCATGATCAAATTTTAAAGCTTGATGCTAGCTTAGAAATTTTTAGTTCAATTATTGATAGAGAAGAGGAAGGTGAGGAGAAAAATACATGAGGTGTTCTAAAATTCAAAATTTAATTTTTTAGAATATTTAAAATATATCTTTGTAATGCTCTCTCAAAATATAAATATAAAAAAATAGATAATATAATGTATAATTTTCTTATAAAATTATCATTTTAAAAAACTAATTAAAAAAATGTAAAGTGAAAACATGTTAATAACTTTATTTAAGAGCTATCTTTAATTGAAAATAAAAATAAAATTTTAACTAAAACTAGCTAATAAATAAATAAACATGATCTCACGTATAATCATCGTTATTTTTTATTTATTCTTAGATTTTTTATATATTATAATTATAAATATGAATGTTAAAATAAATAATACAATAACTTCAAGAAATACAAAAAAATAAAAATAAATAATATAAATGATATTGTATCAATGGTCTTTATATTTTACTTTATACAAAATAAATACTATAATTCAAAAATTTAATAATTTGAAAAATTAAATACTTAATATCTGATAAGAGGGTATTTTACATATATTTAGATATTATTTATACCCTCATATTGATTACTCAATGCGTGTATTAAAAATAAAATAAGATAAAATATCTCAATTAAAGATTTTAGTATATTATTAGGAAAATGAGATAAAGTAACATGAAAAAGGCTTTAAAAGGAAAGCCCAGAGTCAAAGACCAAGGAATTAGGCTGAAAATAGCTCATCCATGCATGGACAATCTTGGGAAGGACCATCTAAACGTGTATGAAACTCAAAACGTGAATTTTGCATGCCTTATTTTCATCTGCATGTGGACAAAAATCCTGACCGCATGTGGATGAAAGAAAATGGGTGAGAAAATATATTTTAAATATCTTATATTAGATATCATCATATCTAATGAGATAATATCTTGATACAAATTTTAATAAATTCCTTGAGTTGTTTCAAAAGTTCCAGATCAATATTCCTTTTGTAGAAGCTTTAGCAAAAATCCCGACTTATGCCAAGTATGTGAAGGAGCTTGTCTCGAAGAAAAAGAGATTTCAAGAATTTGATACAATAGCTCTTATGAAAGAATGCATTATAGTAGTTCAATGAAAGCTACCCTTAGGCTTAAAGAGCCAGGGAGTTTTTCTATTCCTTTCTCTATTGAAAATTTAAAAATTGATAGATGCTTGTGTGATTTGAGTTCTTCTATTAATCTTATGCTGTTACCTACAAGCAAGAAACTTGGAGTCACTAACTTAAAACCCACCAATGTCACTGTGCAAATGGTAGACAGATTATTGCTATGCCCACTAGGAATTGTGGAAAACGTTCTGGTAAAATTTGGAAACCTTTACTTTCGTACATATTTTATTATTCTAGACCTTGAGATGACATGGAATTTTTCCTCATCTTGGATAGGTCATTGTCATTTTTGGCCATTAGAGGAACTATAATTAATGTTCCTAAGGGAGAACTAATTTTTCAAGTATGCAGGATTTTTTTTTTAAATTTACTAGGCCTACTAAACTCCCTATTCTTGAGGATAATATCTACAACTCATAAGAACAAGTGCCCCTCTTACCCTTTAATGATATTCATTGACACTTGTAGCAGGACTATCTAGCTAAAGACATTAAATATAATGCTTATTGAGAGGCAACCTAACTTTCTTTTCTCAATTCTTTTAATTATGTCCAGTTTTTTATTTTTAGTTTTAAATTTCTTTTTGTTCTCTACATTTTGTTTTAGCAATCCCATTTAATTAGACTAAACAAAATAAGAGAAGTCATTTGAAGGGTCATGATCACTCTATTTCGTGCTTACTCGAAGGGAGTATTAGTCTCCTACCCTCCTCTGCTTTTGATTTCATTTTTAATTTCACATTGAGAACACCATGACATCTTAAGTGTGAGGACGGGTCTACCATGATAGCTTCCCATTGCTTATAATGTTGTAATTTTCTTAACAATCTACATGCAGTAATTGGCCTTACTCTTAAAAATTTTAGAAATTTATGAAAATTTCTTTTGGGATTTTTGTTTTCTTGCATTGCTTTATTTAGTTGTATAACTGTTCAGGCTGACTGTGTGTTTTGAAAAAGAATTTAAGGTTGCCAAGACCTCATGGGAGTTAATAAAAAATAATATAATGCATGAATTATCTATTCTAATTTTTTTATGTCTATGCTTGGAAAGCTAACACCTTATAGAGTGGTTAAAAAAGAGAGTAATCCTAAAGAAAGAAAAAATGCAATAAATGCTGAGTATCCACTCTGCTAATGCCAACTAGGCACAGTAATTGAGGATTTTCCTCACTAATGTCAGTCTTCTCATCAAACAGCTTAGTAAGTGTTAAGAATATGCTAAAAAAAAGCTCCTAAGTTCGAGTGACTAGGCCATTTTATCATCAATATAAAGGTTCACCTCAAAAGGACTAAAGGATTATCTAAGGAAGAAAGGCAATTCAGGAATAACTAAGAATGGTGGGCCCATTATACTAACTTAGAAAAAGAAACAAGTAAGGTCCATTGGTATAGAAAAATTCATTATATAGATAAGTGTTTAATTAAAATTAAATTCACTTCTTGTGGTAATATTGGCTGAATTATTGTCTTTTTCTCACACATTGAAGCTCAATAGGTTGGTTGTACAGTTAAGTTTTACTAGTGTTCAAAGAAAAGGTCCTGTATTTGAATTACTTATATAATGAATTAGGCTAAATATAGAAGTATTTGATTGAGGACAAGAAGGTTTAAGTATGGGAGAGTTTGATAAGAGGATATTTTACGCATATTTATATATTACTTCTAATATTATATTGATTATTTAAAGCATGAATTAAAGATAAAATAAGATAAATATCTTAACTAAAGAATTTGATATTTTTTCAGGAAAATGAGACAAAATAACATGAAAAAGGCTTTAAAATGTGAAGCTTGGAGTCAATGACTAAGGAATCAGGCAAAAACATCTCATTCGCACACAAACAAGCTTGTGATGGACCCATCCTCATGTGGATGAAACTCAAAATGTGAATTTTGCATGTCCTATTTTCATCCATCACTAGATGAAATTACACAAGTTTCATCCACCCATGGATGAAAATCTTAACTCGCGCGGATAGGGCAAAATGAAGCATGACTGCATGCAAACAAAGGAAAATAGGTAAAAAAATATATTTTAAATATCTTATATTAGATATCATCATATCCAATAAGATAAGGTGTGATTTGGATGAATTCTAAGCCTATAGTAGTCGAATTTATTATAAATTAACCTTCTAAAAACCTCTCAATACATCTAGTCTTATATCTGAATGCTAGAAGGCATATTACGGAGTACAGAGGAGTCTTTTGAGCTATGAGCTTTTTCTCTTCTTTTTTTCTTTAGATTTTTTTTATGTCTTTTATCTAAGATTGTAATTTTGACTCTATGAGTTCTTGGTAAATTTCCACTTAGGGTAAGGAGTAGCTTGACTAGAATAGATTTTATTCTTTATTTAGTTTTGATTATTTTTCCCATTGAATATTGATTTTTATCTATGGAATTTATGTTTTCTTTTATTTTTATATCTCTCGCTTTAATTGCTTTTTATATATATAACCAATTTATAATTTTCTT